TGTTAGCCCATTTCTTGAGTTACTAATGAGGGTGAAAGGCTCTTTCTCGAGTTACTAATGAGGGTAAAACACTCTTTAAGTTTGCTGCCATACACATCTATTTTTGTATGGATTATCTATTCATTTCCATTCTCTTGGGGGGTGTTCATCATTTAATAACTAATTTGAAAATTTTTTTAAAGATTAGTCATCTTTATGTGTTATTATAGATCTTTTTCTACTTTTCCTATTCTGTTCTTTCTTTGATAGTTTGTGCTTCTGAGTAATGGTGTAAGGGGCTGTTTGCCTCTCAAGATTATTAAAAAGATACTACCATGTGGTTATTTTATATAGTTTTATTATATTTAAATTTTAAACCATCTCAAAGCCTATTGTTGTTATATGTGAAGTAAGACTCTAGCTTTATTTTTTGCCCCACTGAAAAGCCATATTTATCACCCTCAAAGTGAGAAACATTTCTAGACTCTTTTGTTGCACTGATCTCGGACTAATATTTTAGTAACTCTAACTTTGGAAAAAATTTTTTTCCTATCTGCTGGGACTCGTTCCACCTTTTAAAATATTTTTAAAATGCGTCTGCCTGTCTGCCCATTTTTTTTTTCCACAAAAAAGTTTTAGAAACATTTTTTCAAGATTCTAAAAAGTCCTATTGAGATTTTGGTATGAATTACTTTGAATTTCCAGAGTATAAGGGGGAAAATCTGTACGTGGATCTGACCAAGAAATCTTTGGGTATTCCATTATGTCCCCTAGGAATTCTATCATTCTCTTTTTAAGGGTCTTGTATGTTTCTTATAAATTTGGCCACTTATATTTCTCTGCTCTTTAAATTGCTAATAGTACTATTTCTATTGTGAGTTGACCTTTCTCCATTATGTTTTCTAATTGACCAGCAGGTTTATACTAATTTTTGTATATATATTATGCAACTGGCTACCTTTCTGAACTCATAAGTTTGAACTCTTTCCATTTATTCTCTTGTATTCTCCAGGGTTTGAATAACATAACTGTAAATAACAATTCTTCTGTACACTCCCTCCCAATATAAAAATTTTAAAGGATAAACTAGTAGTTTTTATTAATTTTGCCTATATCTAATAAAAACTATCAGTAAACAAACTTAGCTCTTTTGGTTAGTTTAGGAAAGCCTTTAATTATTATTTCTTTCATTTTTCTGTTTTCTTTGGGGTGGCACACATATAATTCAAAAACTGTACTTTTCTTTTTTCTTTCTTTTGTTTGCTGTATCTTTTTTTTCTCATCTCTTTCTCTCCATTTTTGAGAGTAATCAAATTTACCCATATGATTAATGAAATTTTCAGTAGTGTCAATTATGCTGATTTATTCCTTATACAGGAATTTGCTTTGGGGGTTTCCTTTTATTTTACTTTTTTATATTTCAGGATGATTCCTTTTCATTCCTCCTCTTTATCTCAACTTACTACTTCTTTATGGCTAAAAAAAGACTAATTGTTTAAACACTTCTTTGTGCAAGACAGAGTACTAAGTACTGCACAGACTTGAACTTGTTTACTTTCTACAAATGCTAAGGTAGATATTACTCCTATGTTATGTGTGAGGAAATTGAAACTGAATGACTAGGTAATTTGCCCAGGACTCTACAACTGGTCAGTAGGAAAGCCAGGATTTAAAGCCAGGTCGTCTGCCTCCAAAACCCATGCTTTTAACAACCCTGCCAAGACAGTTTCACATGCCCTTGAGTCTGTTCATAGGGGAGTTTAGTTCCTTTTCAGGTCTATACCTGGAATGAGGTGGCCTCAAAAATACCTTGTGTCAATTCCAGTGCCTGCTGGACTAAGGCAGGAGCATCTTATCCTCCAATTCTTAGATACTTTGCCATTGCTGAAGTCAGACAAATGTTCTTTGTCCAAGGGTTATACACCCTCCCACATTTGCTACAATCTAGGGATCTTTCAACCTCCACCCATTTGCAAGATTTTCTTTGCGGTAACTGTATACTCAGGAGTGCAAAGTCCCCCTCACTCCTGAATCTGCAGTTATACCCAAAACTGAAACCTGTAGTTTTATAATGCAGGTGAAACAAAGGGGCAGAGGAATGAATACTGAGAGGGTGGGCATAGATCTCAATTCTAGCTAGCTCAGATGATGTCTGGGCCATAGGGACTGGATTTTCTAGGTGGTATAGTTCCTGTGCCCTGAGTTTGAGGCAGTGACTGAGTTGGGGCTTTTTACTAACTTCTCTCCAGCTAATTTGGGTTGATGAATCAAATGATAGACACTGCAGTTAGTGTAAACTCCCAGTGGATTCTGGCACAGGGTTTCTTCTTTAGTTTTCTAGTACTGTTACAATCTTTTGTGGGAATTTGCATGAAGCTGAGAAAGGATAACCAGGGATTGCCAACCTCTGGCATGTTTAACATGTTTAACAAGCATCTGTATCATGCAGCGGGTTTGAGATTTGATTTAGGCTCAATTATTTTTTTGAGAGGGAGAGAGCAAGAGAGAGAGTGGGCGGGCGGGGGGTGGCGGGAGGCAGAGAGCAAGGCAGAGAGAATCTTAAACAGGCATGGACCAATCTCTTATGATCTTGAGATCATGACCTGAGCCGAAATCAAAAGTAGGAAGCTTAACCAACTGAGCTAGCCACACACTCCTAGACTCACTCTTAAAGAGTATACACGGACTGTCCTAGCATACTAGTGATTCTAGATTCCTTTTTATGATATAACTATTCTGGGCTCTTTTCTTGGACATAGGAAGTTCCCCAAATATGAGCTATTCCTAAAGACCTGTACCAAAACTATCCTATGACAATTTTCAACTGACATTTTTTTTTTTTTAAATCACCATGCTAAAAAATGGTAGTGTTGGAAAAAGAATTAAGGATTGAGCTGAGGAGTCTTGGTGTCTATAAGACGTGGTTGAGGAGGCAGAGAAAGCCAGGTCAAAGTGACCTGATTGATAGGTTTTGCTGTTCTTGAGTGTTATCTTGCACAGAAAAAAAAGCTCTTTACACTATGAATTGTGGATGCCCCTTGGCACATAGAATTTCTTGCCTCAGTAAAGCTGAGCTAAGGACATTATAAAATGCTACCCCTTAGGGTGTCTGGGTGGCTCAGTCAGTTAAACATCTGACTTTGGCTCAGGTCATGATCCATGGGTTCAAGCCCTGCATCAGGCTTTGTGCTGACAGCTCAGAGCCTGTAGCCTGTTTCAGATTCTGTGTCTCCCTCTTTCTCCCTCTGTTCTTCCCCTGCTCATACTCTGTCTCTCAAAAAATAAACATTAAATTCTTTTTTAAAAGTAAAATGCTATCCCCTTTTTCTCCCTTTCAGAAGCACCTAAGTTATTTTGTATTTCTATGGCTAAAGCTACTCTTGATAGAGGCAGCTAACAAATGCATCAAAAATATTACATTTGTAACTGGAAATCCCAAGTTACATTAAATGCCCTTCATCTGTGTTCTTATGTCACCCCCTCCTGATGATTGGTTTTATGTATCAACATAATGTCATCATGTTTTATTTATGTGTTTACAAAGAGTTACCATGTGACATTAGGTAGATTTTTTTAAATTGTTTTATTTATTTCTGAGAGAGAGAGACAGAGTGAACAGGGGAGGGTCAGAGAGACAGGAAGACACAAAAGCCAAAACAGGCTCCAGGCTCTGAGCTAGCTGTCAGCACAGAGCCCCTAGGAAGATTATTTTCAATAATGCAGATGGACCTCACTCAATCGGTCAAAAGTCTTAAGAACAAAAACCGAGGGGACGCCTGGGTGGCTCAGTCGGTTAAGTGCCTCACTTTGGCCCTGGTCATGATCTCATGGTTCGTGGGTTTGAGTCTCGTGTCGGGCTCTGTGCTGACAGCTAGCTCAGAGCCTGGAGCCTGTCTTTGGATTCTATGTCTCCCTCTCTCTCTGACCCTCCCGTGCTCACACTGTCTCTCCCTCTCAGAAATAAATAAAACATTAAAAAAAATTTTTTTAAAAACCCAAAAAAACAAGGTTTCCCAGAGAAAGAATTCAGCAATATAGAAACCCTGTTGGCCCACCCTATAGATTTAGACTTCTCAGTCCCAATAGCTGCATGAGAAAATTCCTTAAATCTCTCTATACATACACATGTGTGTTTGTACCTATATAGGAGGCTGTGCTCATATAAAGAAAAACAGGGCAAAAATAACAATCAAACCCCATTTCCTTGCATATAACATTGATGACATTTATTTAGTTTAGATAAAGACTTCCAACACAGAACACTGTTAGGAATTAACATTAGGAACAATGTAAAAGAGATGTGATGTAAGGCAAGTATTATATAAAGATGAGATAAACAGTTTATTTTTTTTCTACAGAATTTACTGCAAGTTACCATGTTGTGAAAACAAAAGCTGATCACTCTTAATATGTCAGATTTGTTTAGTAATTTAAAGAAAAATATATGACTCCCATCACACAGATAATTCTACATCTACTTTGCAAATCAAATCATCAAGAAATATCTATCTGGAAAGACTATGGACCTACTGTCACATTATAACAAAAATAAGGCTGCTATCTTCACAGAATATATGGGTAATTAGTAATCAACCATTAACATAGTGAATGTTTTAATATTTGGAGAAACATTAGAAAACTAATTTTTTAGAAACAGATTTCTCTGGACATTGTTTACCATGCTGATGAGATTAGTTTGGAAAAGGGGTCTTGTTTAATCTAGGAAATCTTCATAGTCTAATATAGCTCTGGGCTAAACAGATACTGAAGAACCTTTACAAGCACAAGTAGGCTTGGAAATCATGCAGTCTTATTTTGAATTTGCTTGCTTTAGTCCAAGGTATGGAATTAATGATCAAGTACCGGGAATTTCTGTAATGTACCCAATGCCAAATGGCTACTAACATTCTACTTCCCACTATGAGGACTCCTTGATTAGAGGTCAGTGGGAGGCCTAAAGTATATTGTGAGCTATAAAATAAATTGTACTCCAATGCCCAGATTCCTAAAGATAAATCTTGTTTTTCAATATAAGAAACTCACTAAATCAAATGAATGCTAATTAGAGCGAAAGTAGTAGAAGTAAAACTGGGGCAGGAAACTTCTAGCTGCACAAGAAATACATGAAAGACTTAATTATTCTAAGAGAAGAATCATTTTCCCAGTAGCCCCGCTGCTATGGATGATATTTTCATGAGCTTGGGCCACCTTCTCCAATGAATACTGAGAACCTATTACAGGTTTCAGCCAACCAATTTCCATTCCAGCTTGAAGGGCTGCTGCATATTGCCTAAATTCCCCCTAAGTAGAAGAAAAAGGTATGTCTGTAGGAGAACATAGGACTCAAGTTTCAGAAGTGTTAAAAATTTTCAGATTCTAAGAGATAGAACATAAACAGTTTCTTACAGATATGTGGCTTTTGTCAACTTGTACAGAACTACAGAAAAAGTAGTTCTACATAGAGTGATCATAAGTCCAATCTGTCTGAGACAGTGTCAGTTCACAAAGCACCTACTGTCCTGAAGGAATTACTGATAGTATGTCTTTTCTCTCTCAAGAGTATCTTGACTTGGAAAATAAATTACATTGTCACCCTGGTTATCTTATAGTGACTCATCCTTAAAATACTCATGTAAACAGATAACTAAGTTTAATATCTACTTAAACTTTCAGTCGGCCTGACTAGGCAAACTGTACCAATGTTTAAGTTACCAAGATCAGAATCACTTCTTTTCCTACCTTAGTTGATGAGTAGAGAGAAACCCCAATTATACTAGATTCCATTGTCATGGTGTCCCGTGGGCTTATCTCAATAGGACCTCTGCTGCCCACAACCTATTATGAACAATAACATGTCTATAGTTAAAGGTTATTGCAAAATAGTATTAAATTATGGTAAAACTTGAATGTGATAAAAAGAAACCAAAATACTTACTATTACTCGCCCTCCTTGTGATAGAAGTTTCAAATCATTATTAAGATTTACATTAGCTAACATTTCAATGATCACATCAATTCCTTTTTCACCAATGGATTTCTGTGTAATAAAAAAGAACCCAGGAGTAAGATAAGAAAACAAGTAAAAAAAATCCTGTAAAATAGTTATCATAGTCCCATATATTGCAGAATGTGTTTCAAAAGACATAAATGCTACATTTTTAAGACTATAATACAAATTTTTAATGATCTAATTATATAGTGATGATGTAATTCCAAGGTACCAGTCACAACATCTAAAGTGATAAAGATTTATACTAAATAAATTTCAACTGTTTTGACTCAACTTGACTATAAAATACTTTTTCCTTAGTTGAAAGTATTCTGTCTTCAAAATGTATTTTCACAGAGAAACAAAAACAAATCCCAAATCCCAAAAAGGCTTTTGCTTAAAAAAGAAAAAAAAAAACTAACTAAAAAAAAAAACAACAAAAGAAGACAATCACTGGCTGTTTGGTGTTGCAGAATTTTTCTGTGTGTGCATTCAGTTTTGTCCCAAGTGGTTTATAATCAGCTTGGCTACTACTACTTTTCTTTTGGGTTTTCAGGGATTTCAGCCATCCCAAACTGGCTCTTAAATAAATACATATATACCTCATATTCATTTTATTCTAACAAAAAAAAATGAATACCTATGTCAGGCATTGTTAAGTACTGGGAATTCAAAGATGGACACTAAGAACTCAAACACAGCTAGAGAGAAAGATGAATAATACAGCAGACACAGCTGTGATGGAACGGGCTAAATGCTGCATGAGTGGAAATAAACCACAGCTTATGGAGAAAAACAGTTACAACTCTGATCACCTGTAATGATCATGGAAAGTTCCACAGAGATGAGAACCTGGGCCCTGAGGAATGAACAGGAGTCCCTTAAGCAAAAAGGGAGGAAGAGGAGCCAGCGGAACTACGCAGTCCTTCTGGGTAGAAGAAATAGAAAAGCAAAGAGCTATGGACTGAGAGTCCAAGTCAGGATCATAAAGGAGCCGAGCAGAGCTGAGACAGGTGTTTGGGAATGTGGGGGGCAGGAAGGAGGGAGAGGTGGAGAGGTAAAGTAAAGGCTATAAATTGGTATGGACTGGGAACACGCATCAAATGCCATGTTAAAGATCTAGACTTTTGGGGGGTAGGTGTTCATTAATTAATTTTTGTGTCAGACCTGTTTTAGACACTGAGGTTCAGCAAGGAATAAGAGAGACAAAAATTTCTACTTCATGGATTATATATATATATATATATACACACACATATATATTTAAGGAGAACAAAGAACTCTGGAGACAGTGAACAATGAAGATAGAAGGGGATAGTAAGTCAGTTATAAACAAAAGACAAAGCTGGAGAGGATGAGGACTAAACTAAGTCACAACAGAGGAGAGAAGAAAGAAAGATGTATTTGAAAGCCATGTCAGAGATGAAACTGATAGAGGGAGGTGACCAGCCTGATAGGTAGGAAGGAGAACGGTGATTAAAAGATAGGAATACTAAAAACAAAACAAACAAAAAGAAACCTTGCGTCTCTGTCTGAGGGGAGCAGATGAGTGGCAGCATCTAGCAGACTGATGACAGGAAGGCAGAGAACTCAGGCCAGAGTCAGTGCTGGAAATCAGCAGGATGCAGGCACTAACTGAAGCCACAGGGGTAGAAGAGATTGGTCAGAAGGAAGGTCTAGCGCCAAAGGAAGATGAAAGACCAAGGGGAAAACCTAAGGAACAGCAACATTTAAGTAATGTGAGGAGGAAGGGGACTGGAAATGAAGTTAGGCAAGAAAGAAGAGAACCAGGTTTCAGGAGACGTGGTCAGGGGCAGCTGCTGCCAAAAAAATTCAAGCAGAATGAGGGCTAAGCCAACAGCAGCAGATGGGTAATTAGGAGCCCCCCAGTGACCCCAGTGACAAGCGGTATAAGTAGCTGCGGTGGAAGCAACATGCAGCAGAAGGTGACGGGAGGTAAGGAAGGAAAAGAGATCCTCACTCCTTTCTCCAGAAGTGTGGTGGTAGACAGCATGGAGGGTTTGATAAAAGGTTAAGGGAATGATCTGGAGAATGAGAGAGACTTAAGCAGAGAGAGCCAGTAGAAGACATAGAAGCCGCAATACCTCAAGGTCTTAAGGTCAGATTTCTGCAAAACAAAAACATATTCTTACAATAACTGGTCATTTTTCATCTTTATAAATATTCTTGGATAATGGTACTAGGCGTGAATATTCAATTAATTTTAGGTTGTCTAGATATATAACAAAAGAGCACCTTTACTTAGATTTTTTTTTCAAGATGATGTAGTGGTAATACATAAACCCTCACTCATATTTTCCTCAATTTGTAATGACCTAGGTTACACAGTAATCAGTATCTGGAAAATTCTAATTCTTTCTCAACGTGAGCAAGTAGTCAAAGGATTTGCTTGAATTCTGCTCTGGCAATGAAATATAAGCAAAGAGTAACTAAAGCCTACTTCATCACTCTGGTTGTGGTAGTGATTATTCCTCTATAGCATACAATTAATAAGTAAACTTTGTCCCTTAGGTTAGACAGATCCAGTTTGTAATGTGTAGCTACCTCACCTTCTCTGGAAAAGTTATACCAACAGCAATTATGTTAAGAAATTAAGAAAACTTCGTTGTTGCCAGAGGTGAGGGGTGGGAACTGGGTGAAATGGGTGAATGTGATCAAAAAGTACAAACTTCCAGTCATTAAAAAAAAAAAAAGTCATGAGGATGTAATGTACAGCATGACAACAGTGGTTAATAACACTATATCGTAGAGTTGAAAGTTGCTAAGAGTAGATCTTAAAAGTTCTTATCAGAAGAAAAAAATTTTGTGACTATTACGGTGATGGATGTTAATCAGACTCACTGTGGCAACGGTTTCACAATATATAATATACAGAAATAACAAAAAAAAAAAAAGAGAACACCTCACAGCTCTTAAATACAAAGCTGTGACATTACTCAAAATGTGACAGTGTTAAAGAGTACTAATTTTTAAAGCTGAGACTCTGGAAAGGCCATATTTTATTTGATAAACAAGTCAAATGAGTGAAGGTGTGAAAATTAGACATCTCTGCTTTTTAATTAAAACTTTAAAACACACATAGACATAAAAAAAGAAAACTTTAAGAGAGTGGTTGATTAAAAAAATGTTACAAAAAGGTAAGTCTCTCAAGAAACAAAATTTACTTTTATAAAACTGTGGACTAATTTTACCTTAATTTTATCAAAATAATTACGTTCTCTGTGGTTAAACACTTTATGGGCTCCATTTTGCAAAACGATGTTTTGTCCTTCCTCAGTACCAGCTGTGCCCAGAACCTCTAAACCATAAGCTCTAGCAATCTGACATGCTGCCAGTCCAACCTGAAAAACAAAACATAAACCCAGCTTTAGATTCTTTGCATTCCTGCAAATATTTATTAAATATATGTAATAAATTTAAGGTTCCTCTAGGTCCTACCCTATCCTTAAGGAATTTTGAGTGTAAATGAAGAAATAAGAATAATAGCTAACTTTCACTGAGCATTTATCATGTGTCAGGTATCACACAAAATACTTTCTATACACTGCTTTATTTTATCCTCACAATAAGCCTACGAAGTAAATACGATTAGAGCCCATATTCCATGGATGAGAAAGCTGAAGCTTAAATAATGTAAGTGACTTGCCCAGGTCACAGAGACGGAAACAGGACCAAGTCACAGAGCTGGACCAAATCAGTCTGTAGAACTTAAGCCTTTAACCACTGTATCAAAATGTGTACTTAGCATCTGCTTTGCACAGAAGGTACAGAGTTTAAAGATATTCAAATCATGCTCACTGGCTTCATACTCTCACAATACATATAAAAATTACATGACAAACATTACACCATTTAAGTGGAAGAAACAGGTATATGAGCAAATTATTCATCCATATAATGACCATTTACTGAATGTTTACTATGTGTACATGGTACTTTGTATAAGGGGTGAAAGAATAAACCCAACAAATAAATGAATAAATTAAAATTCAGAATTATATATATATATATATATATAAAATAAAATTCAGAAAATAGAAAGTACTAAGAGAAAACCCAGTCTATTGTGTTACAAGTACATAGAGAGAAGGGCCATTTAGGTCATCACGAAAGGCCCCTCTGAAGAGATGAGACCTGAGCGAAGTGAGGGACAAGCCACGTGCAGATCTGGAAAGCCTGGTGGAGAATGCTGTAAGCAGAATGGTAGTGACTCACCTTGTGACATGGGAATGAGCCTAAGGCATTAAGGACATAAAGAGAGTCCATGTGGCTTGAGGTCAGGACTCATGGGAGACAGTACAAGATGTGGCCAGAAGGGCACACAGGGTCTTGCAGGTAAAGGCTCTGGACTATATTTAACAAATATTCAGAATTATCAGACAGGGGTGTCTGGGTGGCTCAGTCAGTTAAATGACCAACTGACACTTGATTTCAGTTCTGGTCATGTTCTCACAGTTTGTGAGTTCCAGCCCCACAATGGGCTCCACACTGACAGCGCTGAGCCTGCTTGGAGTTCTCTCTCTTTCCCTTTCTCTCTGCCCTTCCCAGGTTCTCTCTCTCTCTCCCTCTCCTAAAAGAAAACAAAAAATAAATAAAAAGAACATTTTATATGGGAGACAAAAAAGAGGGGGGTGGTGATGGGAGTAAGGTGGATCTTCCTCACAGACTGAATGTGAGAGGTGAGGCACAGAGAAAAGTCAAGGATGTCTCCTGGGTCTCTGCCAGGTTAACTGGGGAGGTTAATAGGGTTGAGGAAGATTACAGAGAATCAAGTTTGTGAGAGTATCAAGACTCACTCTGAACAAGCTTAGCTGTACTTGCTCACCTAACTGAAGATGTGTAGTAATCAACTGAATGTGCATATGGAGTTGGAAATATAAATTTGAGATTCAACAGTTTAGAGATGGTATTTAGAGCCACAGATTACATGAAATCACTAGCCCAGTACATAAATGTGCTTGGGATAAAAGAGAAATAAAAGTATATTAGGAATATAGATAAACGCAACTATTTAAATTATAGTACTAAGAAATCTATGTTTGGTTACATAACCTATGGATGGGACAAATAAGTGTCACATACATTTAGAACAGGGCCTCTCAAGCTTAGCACTATTGACATTGGTGGGTGGACAGTTCTCTTTTGTGGGAGCTATCCTGTACGTTGAAGGATGTTTAGTAGCATGTCTGGTATCTGCCCATTAGAAGCCAGAAGCCCTCCATCCAGTGAAAATCGAAAATGTCCCCAGACACTGCATCAAATGCCTGAGGGGGAGGAGGGATGATGCCAAACCACCCCTCACCGATACCCAATGGTTAAGAGGAAGGTAAAATCATGGATGGGGCATGACAGAAAAGATTTAAAATGAAAAATGATGATAGAAACTGATTAAAATTGTAACAGAATCATAGACTCCCAGGCCTGAAATAGACTTTAAAGATTGTATGGCATATGGTAGTAATGAGCCTGAACTCAGTTGGGTTTTGGCAGGGATTTGTTTGATTTAACCAAAACAAACTAACTCACTGTCTGATGAGTGAGAGAGACATTCAATCCCATAGAATACAATATACAATGGAGTTAGCACTACTGATTTGCTATTTTAAATAAAAAAACAACAGTCCTCTAATAAAACTATATCTATGCTAAAAATTTAATATAAATATATCTCTTTATGCTCTACTTTAAATTGGCACTTAATCGCTGTTTATTCTATTCTTGTCAACAATTATATCAGCACTACCCCTTTGATAGATGATATACCGTTATGTGTCAACTATTTTTCTTCTATTTACTTTGCTGACACTAAAATAGGGCACTCCCCACCAACCTATCTGGATAACAACCGTGTTCGTAAATTCCACACCATTTTAAATACACACCATAATCCCAAAGGAAGCTGCATTAAATGAGGACAGAAAGTGCAAACAGAAGCAAGACAAAACCCAGGACTATTTTCCCTCTGGTAGGGCAGGGAGGATCAGAAGCGCTTCACACACCGGGCCACCAGCCTATACCTGCCGGCCAAGGATTTAACAAACTCAGCCAGCTCAGAGAACAGTGTGGATTTTGCCTTAAAAAAAAAAAAAAAAAAATCATGGTGAAGTGACTGAGCTTTTTACAAGAGGGTGAAGGGAATAAAAAGAGATTTTCTTTAAACTTCTCTCCCATTCCTACTGAAACCTCTCCCTTTTATACAGAGCACAAGGTTAGCTCTCTCAAAGCCAAAGCAATTTAAATAAATGTATGTTTGACAGATCCTTTAGTTATTTTGGGTGAAATTTAATTTAACCCAAAAATAGCCTCTTCAGTGAAGCCAGGCAATGGGAATTTTTGACAAGGTATATCTGTCATATTTTCTCAAGCCCCAAAAAGACAATGTTGGTCTTTTCAGGAAATAGTCTCATCTGTGAAATCCTTCAGAATTGATCTATTTGAGGTAGACAGGAAGCTAAGTGTGGCACCTCCAGCTTCATCTATCTAAAGTAACAAAAACATAATGGGCTGAATTTCTGTGTTTGCACTACCGGCCACCTTTAGCAGTAAATTCACATTTTCAGGATGCCACTCATTATGCTGGGTACAATATGCCATTTTTAACAGATTACTTGTGTCAATTTACTCTGCAGAATACACAGTGCTCTGAAGGGTTAAACAGCTTCCTCAAGGTGAGCCACGTAGCCCCAGGACCTATATTTTAAAAATGTGAAATCTCATCTCCAAAATTTCTAAAGCCTCTACATGCAGGATAGAGGTCATGTGGATTTCTTGTTAAATTCCAACCTCAGAGCTCTAACTTTTCCTCTAAGCTCCTCAGAGGCAGATTGACAGCCGGTTTCTTGAAGAAGCTTCTGACAGCCCTGTGTTGGGTTATTTCACTGAAGGGCTTATTTTAAAGTTCTCCGTCTGCTCCCCACCTCCTTACATTAGCATTTTAAGCCATGGGTTGTGGTGTTAAGGACACAGCTGTACACTGTGCATTCCATGAATGTCATCAAAGCGCAGCAGGCAAGCAGGCGAAGGGAGATAGAAGGGCCGGAGAATTCACAGTGCAGCTTTGCAGTGCTGTCTGGGGCAATGCAGGTAAAGCTTTAATGAGCCTTTGTTTCCTTATTTAAGGGAATATGGAATGAATATTACCTTTAAAAAACTGTTTAAAATTCTAAATAAATATTCTTATAACATATGCTACTTGGAGGTAAAAACAAAGCCAGTTTATCTGGGTCCATGCTTAACACAGGTGGAAAACCTAATACAGACACTTAATGGGGTGAACTGTTGAATCTATTAACCAAGAAATGCTAAACTAATGACAAGGAATCACCTTCAGAAAACAGAATGTAAAAAAGCTTTACTACAAAAAGTGGTATTTATTGACTATAAATAGACTATGTTTATAAATTTGGCTTTTAAAAATGACTTAAAAGAAAAATAATGTGAAACCCATTAACAAAATCCCATTTAAAAACAAACAAACAAAAAAATACTTACTCCTCCACTAGCCCCATGTACCAGAACACTTTCTCCAGCTTTGACACGGGCGCTGCAAAAGAAGGCATTATCATCACCTCACTTTGAAGCCTATTAACTCAGGTATTTGTCATTCTTTTATTTTTTTTTTTTAATTTTATGTCTTTATTTTGAGAGACAGAGAGCGAGCAGGGGAGGAGCAGAGAGAGGGAGACCCAGAATTGGAAGCAGGCTCCAGGCTCTGAGCTGTCAGCACAAGGTATTTGTCATTCTTAAGAAAAGTCTACCCTCAGTTCAGCGACCACTTCCCCAAACAGGAAGTTAATTCTACTTTATAGCCCCAAATTTTCTCCAGGTTTCAGAGGATCAAACGGTGGCTCTTCAGAGCCACAGAAGAAAGACAACCTTAAATTCATTTATTACTTCAACAAACGTGTATTGAGAATCTGTTCTGTGCCAGGCACTGTGCAGGATGCCTATCTCTTGAATTCATTCCCCCAGAAAGTGTCTCAAAATAGGCTTTTTATAGCCCCGTCTTTATTCTGTGGTGCTGGGTAATGCCCAAGTAAACTCAGAGGTCAGATTACTTAGGAAAGTATTTTTCCTTCTCTGTGCCTTTGAACATCAGGTGGCACAACCTCTAGCCCGCATTTCATAGAGCAATGCTGAATTGGCATGGTAGGAGGGTAAGAAGTATGATAAATCCTGTCACAAAAGGTTCCATGTCACCCCCAAAAAGGTCTAGATCCTCTGGTGAAACAACATATGGTTTTTAATTCTGGTTCATACTACCGCCTTTCTATGATACCAAAACTAAGGCACAGGCAGCAAGACAGACAGGAGATGCTTTACTATTCCAGATGGACTAGTGCTAATGTCACACAATCCAGCAGCTGTTCTACAATCCAGAGCTGCCTCTCGGGAGGATCTTTTACTTCCTAAAACAACAGGAGTGGCCACACCAGACAAACACTGTGGTCAATCTAGGAGTAAGAACAAAATAACCCCGGGCTTTGCTCAAGGCTGTATGCCAACAGCCACCAAATGGCAATTGTGAGCAGTAAAGGAAGCTTTTCCCAATACTCTTGCTTAGAGATAAGAGGACTGAGGGCAGTGAGATAATGGAGAGTCTGAAATGATAAACTTAAGATAACTATTAGGAAAACACTTTGACACTTTAAAACACAAATGTAAGGGAAAGACTAACTAATGTTACACTATGGGATATGAAGTACTTTTCCCCAGTTTTTAAAAAAGAAACTTACAAACAACCCCCTGCAACACTAAGAGCACATTCTCCTAAACCACGGGGCTTGGGGCAGGTGGTGGAAAGCAGGCTAACCCTCTCCCGGATCCCCACTGCTCTGATCCTTCTACCCTTGCATAGAGTCACTGTGATGGTTAATTTTATGTGTCAACTTGCCTGAGCCATGGGGCCAGATATTCAGTCAAACATTATTCTGGATGTCTCTGTGAAGAGCCTTTCCAATCAGCTGAAGGCTTTAATAGAACAAAGACTGGCTTCTGGAGCAAGAAGGGATTCTGCCTGTAGACTATCTTTGAATTTGCACTGCAACTCTTTCCTGGGTCTCCAACTTGCCAGTTTGCCCTAGCAGACTTTAAACTCACCAAGCCTCCACAGAGCAATCTCCCTGCTTTGATTTCTCTCTCTATAATATATATGTACTATATATATGTATATAGTATATATACATATATATGTATGTACACATTCTGTTGTTCTGTTCCTCTGGAGGACCCTGACTTACACAGTCATCTCCCCCTGTGGCTCATAGCAGGGGCTGGAGCCTTGGCCTGGCTTCCATGCTGCTATCCCTTATTCCCTCTCAGTCACTTTCTTGCCCACCCAAAAGCCAACCCTAATCTAAACATCCCCTGGGGAGAAAACCTTGAATCACAATTCCTGAATTCTCCCCCACTTCAGCAACTCTCTCCCAAGGCTCAACCTGGCAACTGCCCTCACCCATTCTACCTGAGAAGCAGCAGACCCTAAGAACCAGTGCGACAGTCATCTCCTCTCCTGATTCTGTAAGCCTGTATTCTCTCAAAATCTTTCCTTCGACTTCCCAGATACAGCCATCTCTCGATTGTTCAGTTTCTGGCCACTTGTTACTCCCGGCCTCGCTTCCTTCACTGTACAGCCTGAACCCTGAAGTAGGTTACCCCAGCTCTTCTCTCTCTTCCTTTCCAGTGCTCTCACTTCCTTTGCACTGTTCCATTTTACCACTAGTACTCCAGGCCTAGATGAACGTTAAAATCTAACTTCTTTGATAATCTATCCAAATGGCTTAGTACTATAAAAAAAAAAAAAATCACATGACCATGCATTTTGGTGCTTCTTCAGTTCTGATTCTCAAAAGATCACTTTGCCTATTTAATTATGAAAAGTGAGGCAATTACATATGAGTTCCTTCAACACTCCACCTCCCTACCCACAAACTTTCCCATAATGATACCATTTTTACCTCTTGTAGGTTTAGCAGATGAGCTGTCCTTCGGATATCTGAAGCCAATCTCTACATATGTCCTAAGTCCTTTCCATCTTGCCTTCTGCAGGATCTCGCTCCATCTGCCACTCCACCCTCTCTTCCAAACCTTACATCGCCCCTCTCTGCTAGATCTTTTCTCAGCTATAAACATGTTCAACTCTCACCCCACCTCTAGGAAACCCTGTTGTGCCCACACTGTCCTCGAGTACTCTTCTGCCCCCCCTCCCTCCCCACCTCCATTCAAGGAATCAGTTTCCGATTCCTTCTGCAGCCTACTCACACAAGCTTCTGTCCCACCACTACTGAAAACGACCTGACCGAAGTCACCAATCACCTCCTCACTGGGAAGCATGACTGTTCTTTATTTTTTCCCCAAACACACCTCGCGGCTGCGTGTGACAGCCAGCTTCCCTCCTTAGTAACAACATCAACTACCATCTCTGACGCTCCAACACAGATGGAGTACTTACTCACTCTGCACCAGGTTCTGTGCTGAGCTCTCCTGGGGCGGCCTCATTTAGTTCTCACCACACCCCTAGGACGTAGGTGCTGTTACTATCCACATTTTCCAGTTTAGCACACTACAGCTCAGACAGGGAAGTAACTGGACCCCAGTCACAGGGCTGGTAGTAGGATAAGACAGTGCTTATCCTTAGGAAGACCCTAAGTCTTCCTGTTTTCAAACACCATGATCTTAACAGGTGCTTAACAGACACCATGACCTCTAGACTCTCTTGCTTTGGCATATACTCCCTTTGGTCTCTTAGGACTCTGACTATACTCCTATATGTGGATATTCTTGAAGGTTCTGTGCTCACTCCTCTGCACTTCACTCTCTGAAGGCTTTCGGTCACTCTCATCTCATAAGCTCCCACCCACAGGCTGACAGCCCCTCCTTGACATCTTTAGCCTTCAGGCTTCAGACTTTCACCTAACAGGTTGCTGGTCTTCTCCATTACAATGCCTATCATGGTTTCAACTCCGAAACTGGACTCAGCTTCCTTTTGAAACTTTTTCTTCCTTTTCCTTGTCACAGCTAAACCTTATCCAAGCTAAAAAGCTAGAAGTATCTGTAAGCTCCGCTTTTCTCTCACTGTCCACATGCAAACACTCACCAAATAGACCTGATTTTACCCTCCAATAGTTGTCCTTTCCCCTCCACCTTTTCTACCATGACCCTCACTCTGACCTATAAGTATTGTACCTAAGAGATACTTATATAAAACCCCCCGTCTCTTTCTCCATTCCTGTCACCAAATCCACCCTTCACAGAGCTGACAGATGATCTTAATAAAACACTCATGACAATATCACTATGCTCCTGAATGAAACATTTCATGACCCCCAGTCCCTTACAGAACCAATATGTAAGCTCTATCATCTTGCTTTTTACGATATGAAATCTATGTGATACACCATGTGACAGATAACATTTATTGAGAGATGACTGTATTCTAGCCTAATTGTGTGCCACTCTTTGCCTTGATATCTTCTATCCAACAAAACCAAATTGCTATAGCTCTCCCTAAATATGATTTTCCCCTCAACACTAGGTCATTCCTATTGTCTAGAATTCCCTGCCTCTCTGAACTATTCTTCCCCAGGATAACCCCTTCTGATCCTTTTCAAATATAGAGGGAATTTGATGAAAATACAGATTCTCAGAGGGGTGCCTGGCTGACTCAGTCAGTGGGGCATGTGGCTCTTGATCTCTGGGTTCTGAGTTCAAGCCCCACACTGAGTGTAGAAATTACTTAAAAATAAAATCTTAAAAAAAAGTATATATATATATACTTTCCGATTCCTTCTGCAGCCTACTCACCATTCAACATGTGTGTATATATACACACACATACACACACATATATATGGTAAGGGAACCTAGATAGCTCAGTAGGTTCAGCATCGACTCTTGAATTTGGCTCAGGTCATGCTCTCATGGTTTGGGAGTTCAAGCCCCACACTGGGCTCCATGCTGACAGTGCACAGCCTGCCTGGGATTCTCTCTCTCTCCCTTGCTCTCTACCCCTCCCCCACTCACACACACACTCTCTCTCAAAATAAATAAATAAACGTTTACAAAAATTAAAAAAATATATATATATAGATCCTCAGATCCCAGCCATGGAAGTTGATCAGTGGGTCTAGGGTAGAGCCCCACACTGTACTTTTAAATTGCAGCAATGAGGGGGGCCTGGGTGGCTCAGTTGGTTGAACGGCCGACTTCGGCTCAGGTCATGATTTCACAGTTTGTGGGTTTGAGCCCCGCATCGGACTCTGTGCTGACAGCTAGCTCAGAGCCTGGAGCCTGCTTCAGATTCTGTGTCTTCCTCTCTCACTGTCCTTCCCCCACTCCTGTTTTGTCTCTCTCTCTCAAGATTAAATAAATATTTAAAAAAAATTTTTTAAATAAGTAGCAGCAATTAGTTTCGAGAGCTAGGTAACAAAGATTTTTGAGCCATGACTTTAAAAGAATCCAAGACTTACATCTTGGCAGGAAGCCCTATCTCATCACCATTGTTACATCCCTTATGATCCCGTCAATCCCTATGCACATCTGTACCACTGTACTTCCTCACGTTATACGTCAATATTATTACTCTTCTGTCTATCTCTCTTACTAGACTCTCAGATGCATCTTAAAGGCAAAGACAATGTTTTGCTCTTCTTTATACTCCCAGTGATTAGAATAATCTCCCAAATTAGCATAGTTTCCACTCCATAAATACTTAATGGTAACCAAATATGAGAGACAGATACATGGACACATGGTAGGAAGGAAGACAGTATCAGCTCTATAATCGACAGTTTAGGTTATTACCTGTGGAGCAGAGCGCGATAAGCGGTAAAATATGGGATACCGATGGCAGCTCCTTGTTTAAAGTCCAGTTTTTCTGGCAGTGGGTAAACAGTGTGATCTGCTGCAAGAGCATACTCGGCATAGCCCCCAGAGATGGTGTTAGTAGTGAAAACTCTATCACCTTTCTGGGGAAAGCAAGAGATTAATATATGTGTCAGGGATTAAAAAGTATGTCAAAATGGGTGTACCTTTAAAATGCAACCGTTATAACAACAAATAAGTATTTATGTATTGCTTTCTACATCTTAAGGTCTTGCAAAAATAGCTTCAAAATGCTGAACATTTAAAAAAAATTTTTTTTAGAGACAGAAAGTACCAGCTGGGGCGAGGGGTAGAGGAAAGGAGGGAGAGAATTTCAACCGGGCTCCCTGCTCAGCACAGAGCCCTGTGTGGGGCTTGAACCCACAATTCTGGGATCTTGATCTGAGCCAAAATCAAGAGGCGGATGCTCAACCGACTAAGCCATCCAGGTGCCCCTGAGCATTTTTAAATGTTTTATTCATAGAAACAAATAAGAAGTAAAATTAAAGGAAAATAGAAAAAATAAGAGCAAAGAGAACCTCCAGAATGGTATAACAAGAAGACAACTAATCTTTATCGAGAGCTCACTGTGCAAGACACTGTATTAGGTGCTTAATGAGTACTGTCTAATTTGATCTTCTCAAGAGCCTATGAGGTAAGTACTTTTCTTATCACCACTTTAGATTAATTCCACTATACAAATGAAGAAATGGAGGGACAAAGAAGTTCAATGATTCGCTCAGATTAAATAGTTAGTAAATGGCAGTTAATACAACCATTTTTTTTTCTCTCTGATATACTAGGGAGAAAATAAAACGTAAGGTTTCTTCCACACACCAAATACCTATTCTAAATCCTTTCTACATTTTCCCCCTCGTTTTTCATGTATACACCAAGAGCAGGAAACTATGTCTGGATCCTGACAGGAAGATGAGCTGGGACAGGCTTCTTCCCTTGTTACAGCACCAGAAACGCAAGAAACTCTCCGTAAACTCTGCTGGGTCCTTGCTATTGAACAGCGGATGCATAGTTGAGGGTGACGTAAGGCACTATGCAAGCACTGGGGCCTGCCCAACATGCCCTGCAGGCTAGAGAAATTAGACTGTTCACTGCCAACACCTGCCCTAACTCTTCTTTCTTCAAAAAAAAAAAAATGTAAATATTCCTTGGAAGAAGCACAACCTTAAGGCAATAACTCTCAGTATACTTAAATTTGTCCTATTAAAAAAAGAGATCTGAAAAAGTAACAGCACTATGCAGTGTGATAGAAACAAAAAAGCTTCAAAAGCCACCCAGGAGTCAAAGACAAGCCTCAGCACTTAGCAGTGTCACTTGCAAATAGTCAAACAGGACTGTGCTGAGATCAGTATTGTTTCAGGTAGCACTCCTTCCAATATAATTCAAATATCTTCTAAGAATTCACTATGAAAGCAGTACTTTAAGTTCTGTGATGGATATTAATAACAAAACACTTTCCCCCATTGAAAGCATCTTAAACTTTAGGAAGAGAGAAAAGAAAAGGGTAGGAAAAATTATAATGCAAGACAAAGATGATGAACCATCAAAGCTGGGCACCAGGAAAAGAAAGGAATTATTTCTAAGTTGAAGGAATAAAAAATAGCTTCATTGGGAAGAGAATATTTAAGGTAAGTCTTGAAGAACAAGACAAGATTTTAGAAACTAAAGCTGAGAAGAGTCATTATGAGTGAAGGAACAAAGTAAGTAAAGGAACAGTGGCAAGAATAAGTGCTGAGAAATCACTAGCATTTGTGCCCAATAGTAAGTAGTCTAAGGTATGGAATGTAATAATTTCAGGGATAAAATGGAAGAATTAAAGCTGGAGGGTAAAATCTTTTCCACCTATGCTTATAAGTCTCAGTTTAATCCTGGCAAGCAGAAGAACCAATATGAACAATGATAGAGAAAAAAGAGCATGGGGTATACAGGGAAGAGCAGCTTTACTAAAAAATAAACTATAAGGTGAGAAGGAATAGAGATAAGAATGGAAGAATAGTAGGTAGGAGCATGAAATATCTTCTCTAACAACATAAGCAGTCGCAGCAATACTCTGAAATCTGCAAGGAACTAATGTGAATTAACTGTAAAACGATCAATTACATTTTAGAAAACGCCCTTTATATATAGTAAGGATTCACTGGAGGCGGAAGGAGGGCAGGTGTTAACTACCCATTACAGACATCCAGGCAAGGACCGAGTAGAATAACTTGCACTATAAGCAGGAGGAACAGAAAGAGCAGAGAGAAAACAGTTCTAGTAAGGTAGAGCTGAGTGAGCGAGTGAAGGGATAAGTCTCAAACCACAGAAGTCACCAAAACAATCACACAAGAGAGGGACAGATATAATGTGATAAAATATAAGCTCAGTTTCAGACACACTAAGAGGTGACCAAGGGTTGACTATGTGGGTCCCATACTCTGCAGCACAACTTGCTGTGATGATGGAAATGTTCTATATCAGCACTGTCCAGTAGGGTAGCCACTAGAAACAGGGGGCTATTCAGCATTTCAAATGTTGCTATTGTGACTGAGGAACGGACTTATTTTAATTTTTAATAAGAATTTTAAATAGGCATATGTGGCTACCTTATTAGACAGCACAGGTCCACAGCTTCATAGGCAATTCTAAGCTACAGATATGTGATAATGGATACCATGGGAGTGCATGAGATCTTTGTGAAGAAGGTATGGAATACAAAAGGCAGAGGTCTAAGTAGAGGCCGAGAGCACTGGGCAGCCTGAAGACTTGGGTATCCAGAGAAAAAGAAGCTTGAAAAACACTGTCCAGGAGGAAGTGGGGCAGAGGACAGGAGAAAATGATGTCATAGAAGCTGAAGAAAAAAAATTTAAGAAACAATAAGCGGCTGAGAGTGTCAAATGTCACCAAGAAGTCAAGAGAGATAATGACATAAAAGGGCCCATTAACTCCAGCAATATAGAGGCCATTAGTGACATTAGCAGGAATCGTTTCAGTGGAGCAATGAGGGCAGAAGCCAGGCTGCCACAGGCTGAGGAGTGCAAAGCTGTAGGAATCTGCCGGGCTTCCTGTGCAGAGGCCACGTTAATCTTCTCTAGCTCGGTCCAATTTTGGTAAATGTGCTGCCAAAGTTGAGCAGGTCAGGGAATTATGGGGAAAGATGCTGGAACATGAATATACTCTCTGTGTTTTATATTTCTCTTGGCATATAAATAACGAAAGCCCTGATCATAACATTTTCATTGACTCAGTCACCTTGATCTGAGTCAGAGCTCTAAAAATGTACAGTTGACCTTGCATTTTTTTCATCTTTTACTCATTATTCAAAAGAATTAGCCTTACCTTTATCCTATGAAACTGAATTTATAAAAGGAGTTAAACACTATGTAGGCTTGTTTTTATCGAGAGGTAGGAAAGGTTATATCTTCCTTGTTTATTTTCTTTCTTACATATTTCTGCTATGTCAAAAGGATCACAGTTCAATTGCGTGAGGGGAAGTGAAGATACAGAATTTACCAGCACTTGTTGCCAAAAATGCAAACAAGGAAGACCCCTAGACAAGAGGTAATTTCTTTTTTGAATAGAGGAGTCCCCCAAGTGGCAGAAATTGTGTAATGGGGACTTTTATTTATTTTTTTAAAGTTTTTATTTAAATTCTACTTAGTTAACATATGGTAAAATATTAGTTTCAGGTGCACAATATAGTGATTCTACACTTCCATACATCACCTGGTTCTCATCACAAGTGCACTCCTTATCTGTAAAGGGGCCTTTTAAAGATTTATATACAGACACGTTTGAAAGCTATATCAAAATATTTTAAGAAAAATATTATGCCAAAATAGAAATAATTTAAAATGTAATACCTTGAAAGATACATTGTCCCCAACAGCTTCTATTACCCCAGCCACATCTGAACCAGGAGTATAGGGTAAGTGTGGTTTTTTCCTGTAAGTACCAGAACGAATATATGTTTCCACTGGGTTTACACCACATGCATGGACCTTGATTAAAACCTGCAATGACAATGTTTTTCAGTTAAAACAGAACATTAGGCATTCATTCAGCATTATGTTAGGACCATACAGATTATGAGAGCTACAAAAATGGAGGAGAAAACCTTGCTTTCAACAAGTTCAGCTCACCATTTTGTAAACCAACATATAAATAAAAAGATAAGAGAGAATGTTTAATGTGCTCAAAACATTTGTGGAAAATAGTAGTGGAAATATTTGAGAGGATCTGGGGCACAAACCTCTAGGTACTCATCAAACCTATCTCCTCCTCCTCCTCCTGGGTTCATAGGAAGGATATTATTTCTTGGCACCTTCAGTAATGAGTAGCCAAATGATTGAGTGTTGGACAAGAAAGTGATGAGAGCCACTCTCAGGGCTGACTCATAAAGACCTTCTGGGCAATCCGCACTGTGCCTTCCCCCTTTCATTAGAAGGGACCTCAGAAGACAGGCATTGAAGGTGGCAGAGCCACAGTTATGGACAAAGCCTATGTCCCTAAATCACTCTTTGAGAGTTACCCACCAACATTTTAGAATTCTGCAATTTAGTGAATGAGAAACAATTTTCTATTGTTGAACCGTTGAGATTTTGAGGTTACCTCTACCACAGAAGCTAATTTTATCTTAATTAATACCTAATGATTACTTCTGGTGCAAGAGTAAGAGAAGGCCTTACAAAGAAAGTGGTATTTGAGCTAGGCCTTAAAAGAAGAGTAGACATTCTTTCAGAATGGGAGAAAAAGGACATTTCAGGTAAAAGGAATAGTACTACAAAGACAGAAGGAAGGAAAGGGCCTCCCAGGGAGACCAGACAAGTCTCTTGGGAGACCAGACAATGCTGCTTTTTACAGCACAGTCTACTGAGAAGGAGCAGTAAGAAATGAAACTCTAAAGCTGGGTTATGGCCAAATTGTAAAAACTCTTAAGGTTCAACTTTCGTTAAGAAAATAAGACTTGAGAGTCATGGAAGGTGCAATAATAAAAATACATAATTTTTAATGAGAAAGTATATTGTTAAAGTCACAGGAAATGATTAAACTCTTCATTTAAATTTGCTTAAATCATATACGGAAAGGCATGTATGCAGAAGAAAACTACTTTCCTATTGTGCACAAAATAGAAATCATGAAAGTTCGTTAACAGAACAACTTGTGCAAAACTACTGATGACTTTATCCAGAAAAAATCAATTACTACATAGATGATTCCCAACTTCAACAATTTTCTTGTAACAGTATATTTTTCCTTTTCATAGATCTACGTCACTGTTATAACTACGTTCTCTTTGTCAGACCTCATGTATATCATCAGTATAAACTCTGTCCTAATCCAATTCCTTTTACAAATTATTGTGAGTCTGCTTCTTTTGACATTAACCTGATGTGCTGGGGACTCATATTCAGTGTAATTATTGCCTGTTTTTATGTCATTATTTCTACCTGATGGTCTTTTGGAGTTGGTACTGCCACGTCTGACTGGAGTTTCAGCACTTCCGGTCCACCAAATTCAAAAACTCTAATTGCTTTCATCAATTTCAGTCTGGTTGCCATGGTGATCTAGATACCAAGAAAAAAAATAATGTATTGTCATATGTATCTAGGCTACCACTATGTTTTTTTTTCCCCTGGAGGGGGGAGATCAAACAATTTTTCAAACAACAATTTAAATCTTGAGCTTACATAGATCTCATTTCATGTTTAAGAACCTTTCATCTTACAAATCCTTCAGCTACAAAGCAAAATACTTCATACTACTTCCTGTAGGGATTCAGTGCCTTCAACAAGGGAATCAAACATGCAAATAAAAACATCTGGCTAGACATAGCATGACATAATATCTTAGGTTTCTCTTTGTGTAAGTTTGTGCCGCAACATCTTAGAAATTTTAGAAGCTGATGTTAAGTTTTATTAAAATTAGATAAATAGACCTGCTAGATTATGAAATATTTCAAATATACAGAAAAGTATAAAGAGTCTATATAATGAACACATTTACCTGCCACTCTGCTTCACCAAATCTTAATATTTTAAAAGCCCAGAACATTATAGACATAACCGAAGACTTCCAAACCCATCCTCAAACCCATCTCTGGCCCACCCTTTTAAGAGGTGATTATTACCATAAACTCGGTGCCCCTCATTCCTAGGTATGCTGTCATACCACTACTACACGTATATTCATTAGTCAACAATATGGGCTATTGTGTTGCATGTTCTCAAACTTTATTTAGACAGGATCACACTGTCCTTAATTCTGCAACTTGGTTTTTCCTCTCAACATTATGTTTCTGAGATTTATGAGTTGGCTTTATGAAGTTCATTCACCTTAACAAAGGAGGAAAACATTAAAAACTAAAAATACTGCTTTATATGTAATCCTTTATAAATTACAAGGGTCATTTGCAGTTAACCTTTCTGTCCTACCACTGTTGTTATTTTTTTCTACCACTGTTGTTATTGAAATGAAACCTCAGAGCTAAAATAAACTTTAAAAAAAGGTAAAAAACACTTGAATACAAAAATAGGTAATTATGGAAAGCTTCCATACCTACAGATGTAATGAAAGGGTTCTGACTGTATCTCCTTAACTTTGCTTGTGTGTTATCACAATTTCTTGAAATTAACCACATCAAATATTTAGATTCTGCCATCACCTAGAACACCGTTGCTAACTTCTGGAATAATTATATTCATCAACCATGAATAGCTGAAAGATCAAAATGAGTTGTAGAAACTAGGACTTGACAGAATTAGGACTTATATTGAAGCTCAACACAGGGCTACTTAGAACAGAGCATGTGCTAACGATAAAATGTCAGACCATGTACAGGCGGTAATCAAGAGCATTTGGATGATGTTATTAATGGAAAGTTCTTGATCTAACTAATCAAAAGTTGTATCATTTTTAAATTTATAGTACCTAGCACAGAGGAGTAGGTAAATTTTCCATTGTTAGAAGGCTGTTTAGCAATGACATACCCTGAATGGCAGACCTCAAGGAGGCAGAAGCAAGCAGACAACATAAGCTGAAGGTCACTGTAGAGCAGTGAGGCAGTCCCTGAGGGTGACACCAGTGTGGAGTGAGGTCTGGGGAAAGGCAGTTCACTCCATAACTACCAGCAGTCTCACTATTATATTTCTATTTAGGTCTTCACTCAGGCTGGGTATTTGTTAGACAAGAAAGTGAAAATATAAAGACCATAAAACAGAAACAACAACAAACGAAGGTTGCTCTGATTAGAGTTTTCCATTCTGAAAATAAGAACACAGCTTTTTTTTTTTCCTTTTTGTCTTCAGCACGGTGTTATGGGAAGAGTACGGGCTTTGGAATCTGACAGCTTTCGGTATGGATTCCAGCTCTATCATTTACTAGCCATATGGCCTTGGGCAAGGCAGTCAACTTTTTTGGGCTTCTTCCTCTGAAAACTGGCTTCCCACTTAGGGTGCTAGGGGCACAGCAAGCATCAGGCAATGAACCTGGCAAAAATGTTTACTCTTATATATAGTAGATATCATTATTCCTTTCCTATCTATTTCCTCCTTTCCAATTTCTTACTGGTTAAAATATGCTTGATTCTATAATTCCATAATCACTTTTGATTTACAGGACTCAGATTATAAAAACAAGATGGTGGCCTCAAAGAATTCAGTCTAGAGAATCATTTAAACAAAACATTAATATCAAATGTTGTTATGTGTTTAACAATATCAAATGTTGTTATTCATTCAACACGTATTCTGTGAACATTAACTGTAAGGGAGGCACTGTGCTAACCTCAGAGGACAAAAAGGGCAAAGAGAAAATGCCGCAGCCCCTCCTAGCTCCTGCTCACTCTGCACTCATTTCCTTCACGCAGCTACACACACCATGTAAGATCTATAGCTCCTTTTCCACTTTCTACCTGCCTCTTACCTATTTCTTTCAGGCACTTGCATCTACCTTTTCACCAACAGACATCATAATTATCCTCAAAGAACTGCAGCAGTAATAAAAGCAAAATTACCCTGAAATGGGATCTGTCAAAATTATCTAGCACATACATTTCCCCCCGCCCCTATATTTTGACATCTAGTAAGTTGGGAGAAAAGAACAAAGGAAGGAGGACACTTATCCTTAATAATGGATTTAGAAGACCCTGTTGCCTTATCGACTAAGGCCATCTTATCCTATCCAGCTTGTAAGGAGACAGGGTATAACCTTGGCAGTGCTGTCTCTTACTTTGCTTCTGTCCATCTTATTTCCCACTGAGACTTTGCCACTATGATTGATCAGGCTCCAATTGGCACAAATTGCCTTTGAAAACTCCCTCAACTACCCACAGGGTCATCATGTGCTTCATAACACATAAGGTGATAAGTCAAAAGGAATAATAAAAAGAATAAAATAATACAACGCACTAATAACGATTTTAATTCTTAATCCCCTGTAATATCTGAGTTCTTCTACAAAGCATGTTTTTCATATCCATTGGGATAATTATTTTCACCATAGGCTAAAAAAAGGCCACCATTTAATTGTAAGCAGAAATGGAAATAAAATCAACATCCATTTTATGGATCCAAAAACATTCCAAGAGGTTAAGAGGCTCACTAGGGTCACACAGAAGCAGACTGAGAACCCAAGTCCTCTAATGTGTTGTGAAATTCTTTTTCCCCCTTACTGTATAATCTTTTTCATCTCTTCCTTTGAAATGTTGGCATAGAGAACCCTTAATATCATATCATAATGATGATAGCTGAGACAGGTTGAGCTAGAAATATGAAATACGACTAACCTGCAGGTAGGATTACATATTTTATGATTAAGAGTTTGAAATTTTCCAAATGCCTAGAAGTTTGGAAGATCCACTGGTGATACACAGAACATGCCTCTATTAGGAAAACTAATTTCCTTATCTGTAAAATGGGGCCAATATCCCCTAGCAGAGGATCCCTGTGAAGATTAACTCCAAGAGTACCCAGGTGAGCACTTCCCAGCTCGCCCATCATGCAATAAGCTCTATTATTCAGGTTAAATCATTTTCATGTCAGCAGACCTGCCTCCTTGCTAGTGTTTTTAAATACATCTTTCTATTTATCAAACATAAAATTTAAATGAGAGGATCCTGGTTTAATTTCTGGTTGTACTTTTTACCTATAAAAAGTTGCCAAGTATACTTCACAAATCAGAATTTAAAATTATTCCTTAAATCTTTTCTATGCTCTGTTTCAATGTTTGGTTTCACTAAAAACTAAAGGGACAGGGTAAGTGTTAGAAATAAATGTTAATATAGAATGAGGAAAGTCAGAGGAAAGGCACAGTATGAGAGAAGAAAGAGCATAAGTTAAATTAAGTAAGAATTGCTGGCAAGACATAGAAAATAAGAACTTGGCAAGAGAATAATCACCAAAAGTGCTGTTGATCAAGAAAGACTTATGTAATCCTATTTTTTTTATTAGCCTTAAGCCAGAGATACTTAAAAAAAAAAAAAGAAAAAGAAAAAGAAACCCAACTAGAAGTAGCCTAAGAAAAGTCTCTTCTTGGCTGTATAACCTTGTTAGTTTACTCCCCTGGCCTAGATCTCAGTACCCACTTCGAACAAGGGAGGGGAGGTTAGTGGAGGAGAAGGTGAATAGATAATTCTAAACCCCTCCACGTTCTGGGAAGAAAAGGTTGGATGGAACTGGGCAGGCAGCTCTCTGGGTTCGGGAAGATTCAGTGGGACTTGCTGCAGACGTGGTGCACGCCACTGGCTTCAGTGACACTTGCACAACCGTTTCCGCTGACGGTCCAAACTTTAGCCTCTAAACAGTTCAAATATTAACACATTCCCTGGCCACTGAGGCTGTCCCGTCTCGGAACTAAGTGAACATCAAACGATGTGTTGACTTGGTGTTGTGTAAGCTTTTTGCTTTCGAAAATGATTTCAGGTGGGGGCCGCGGGGCCGGGGGAGTCCGAAACACCGGGCATGTCTCTCCAAAAGTACGATGGCAGAGCCGACAGAGGGCCGGTCTGGAGCCCCGCAGTCGCGGGAACCGCCGGGAAGGCCCACGTCCAGGCCCGGCGGCGGGGGCAGAGCCCACGGCGCCCTGCTGTGTGCAGCCCCAACTCGAATCTCACCGGAGACCAGGGCCGGGAGCTCGCGGCAAGTTAAAGTCGCCGAGGGATGTACGCCTCTGGCACTAGGAGCCGCTAGAGGAAACGTCCTCGATCACGAGCTCATTTTGCAGATTTTGCAGGACAGAACGCGGGACAGAAGCGCCACCTCAATCAACTAGGCCCGTTTTTGGACACGCGGCGGGGAGATCCGCTTCCTGAACACCTAAGGGGACATTTTAAAGCCACTTACCCGGTTTTAGAGCGGGGAAGCGAACTCTGTGAGGGCTCACTCAGATTCCACAAAAAAGGGGACGGACCTGGGCGTTTTCTACAGTTGCTGGCTCCTCCTCGCCAGCCCGCTTCTCCCCGCCCCCAGACAAGGGCACGACTGTCTCCGAGCTCGGAACGGAAAGAAAGTTTGGGCCTTTCCGGCCACCATCCGCTACAATATGGCGTCCCCCAGGGAGAGGCGAGAGTTGATGTCCAAGTAGAGATTCTAAAGGCTTCCTCGAATGGATCGTAGCGCAGAGTTCAAGAGATGGAAGGCGCAGTGTCTGAGCAAAGCGGACCTCAGCCGGAAGGGCAGTGTGGATGAGGATGTGGTAGAACTTGTGCAACTCCTGAATGGGCGAGAACAGTACTTCACCACGAGCTCTTGCGCCGGGCGCATCATCCTCCTAGACGGGGTGAGGCCGTTTTGTGTCTTTACAGCGCCCGCTCTGTTGGTGTGCAGCACCTGGAGTCCTGTGTCCACCCAGTGCAGCACCCCAGTCCAGCACCCCAATCCAGCCTGTTTTCTCTTTCTAATGTGTGGTCTCGTTTTCTTTATGAAACTTACAGGTTGAATTAGACCAGTGCTTCTAAAACTTTAACGTGTCTAATAATCATCGGGAGCTCTTATTATAATACAGGTTCTGATTCAGTTAATTCTAGGGTGGGGCTGATATTAGGCCTTTCTAACAAGCCCCTCAGTGATGCGGAAACTGGTGGCCTGGGAATGATCGTGAGTTGCAAAGGTTAGAGAATTTGATTCTGGATATTAGGGGGACTTTAAAGACTTTCCAACTGGGCGAGGCTACTTTTCTTTTCAATCGCCCGACCAAATCATTGTTTACTACCTGATCGAAAGTCTTCAGGATTAAGGAGTTTACTGCCTCCTGGTGGCCCAATCCGTTATTACAGCTCTGGAAATTTTTACATTAAGCTGAGTACAAGAGAATATATGGTAGGGTGTATCCCTACCTCAGGCTTTGGAGTGATACTGCTTAGATTCTAAACCAGTCGTGGGATTTATTGGCTATGTGACTTTAGGAAAGTTACCTAAACTCAGCCCCTCCCTGTTCCATGAACTGAAAATAAGAATATTTGCTTCATAGGGATTCAGTGTAGAAGAAATGGGATAATTTGAAATGTTTAGTTAGCATCATGTCTGTCCCATATTAAGTGCACTGTAAAAAGTTAGCACCGTAAAATTAATTTTAGCATTAGGACTGAATTCACAGCATGAAAGACAGCACATTCATAAATTCATTCTTTAGATCCCTCATTTGCTGATAATTTGCTGGTCCCCCAAGTTAGGAGGGCCTGTATATTTTTATATCGCCTCTATTGGCTCCTGAACAGTGGCACTCTAGCTGGGCTTACTCTCTTCCACCATTTTTGCTGCCCTGTTTTACCTAGATATCTGCAGTGTTTTCCTAAGAGGTCACTGATCTACCTTTCTACCCTGAACAATGTTACATACTGTTAACAGATTGACTTTCCTAAAGACAGCTCTGTGCATGTCACTCATATATGCTAAAATATTTTATTACACATTTTTCAACAACAGAAAATCCAAACCCCTACCCTAGTATACCTTTCAACCCTTCTGCTGCTTCCTTATTTTCTGTTACTTCTCTTCATGTTTCTCTATTTACTAAAACTGAACTGTCCTTTCTCAGATTTACTGGCCTTTGTCTTTTTCACGTTTATTTTTCCTGAAATGTTTTCCCCCATTTCTGTGTATTTTAGATGTGACTCCAAAAATTCCCTTCTCCCATCTCAACACACAAGCATACACACCCACTTATAAGTAACGACTGCTTCTTCTGAACCGCCTTAGGACTTTTCAAACCTCTTTTTATTTTATGTAGATTATTTATTTTCACCTAGCCTTATTCCAGGAAGCAATTGCATCAGATTACAGAAAAGCAGTACAGGAAGAAAAATAAAAACTGGGAGAATGTACGTGAAGGGAGCATAGATAAGATGAAGAAGCTACAAATGGCATTAGTTACCAAACGTGCCCATATATTCTGTAAATTTTCTAGAGGTGGGCCACACATTTGACTCTAAGATTTACAGCAGCCAGCATAAGGTCAGATAAATGTCACTCAATGAAAGTAAACCAGTTATTCAGGACAAGCAGAGCTTTTCCCTTTTCCAAAGCCAGTCAAGTCTACTATGTTCCCATGGTAAAAATAGTTACTTTGTAGAAGTATAGTGATTTAAAACTACTTGTGGTTTGCTGCATTCTCTTTCCAGCATCCTAGAGGGTAGGATCTGTCTATACCCAAAGAATCTAATAAAACTTTAAAAATAAACATTTTTCCAGTTAATAAACAAACCAAAAAAATCTGTTGTTAAAGTATTTGTCTTCTTGAAACTTTGACCCTGCAATCCTAGCTCTGCCCTTTGGGACTACATACAAAGTCTAATCCACAGTTTACAAATGTATCTAGAGGCTAGAGACATAAGGGTGTGACCAGCTGAGGTGTTAGTAAAAAGTAATAGATCCTGTGTGGGATTGGTATAGTGCTTTCTGAACTGAACAAAAGGAGTTCAACTTGTTTCTGTTTGTTTTTTTAATATTGTGCAAGCCAAATAAAACAGCTAGACTAGAGGACAACTCAGGGTTGCTAGTGTACAACCCCTTAGAGTAATTCCTTTTCTCCTGACAAAATCATGACCATGTTTTAGAAAATATCAAGTTTTTATACCTTAATAAACTGTTGTCTTTCTACCTGAACTAATTTGGTTTCATTTTTGTTTGGTTAACTTTACCCAAAGCCTATTGAATAGTTCTCAGTAATACTTAAAATTATCACTTGGGATTATTCACCTAAGAAAGTCTAAAATTATGCTGTGCATTGTATTTATTATTTTTGTAGATATTATAGGATTAAAATTTGTTTATTTTATTTTTTTATTTTAGAGTATAAATGGTTTTGAGGTTCAAAAGCAAAATTGTTGCTGGCTACTGGTAACACACAAACCTTGTGTAAAAGATGATGTGGTAAGTTTTTAGATATAAATTTAGATACAGGCTTTTTAAATTCACATTTATTTATTTATTTATTTATTTAGAATATGCAAGGGAGAGAGAGAGAGAATCTTAGGCAAGCTCCACACTCAACATAGGGCCCTACCTGGGGCTTGATCCCATGTCCTGAGATCATGACCTGGGCAAAAATCAAGAGTCTGATGCTCAGTTGACCAAGCCACCCAGGGACCCCTAGAAATGAACATTTAATTCAAAGTCACATTAAATAAAGAACATAGGACACTCAAGGTGAATTTATGTGCACAATTATAGTGACTGAAAATTAGAGAGCCTGAAGAGAATTCATTACAGTGGCTTTTTTGATTTGTAGAGATAAAAGTGCGTGTGTGTATGTATGTGTGTATATACATATATATGCATTACTTATATGTACATATACATATGCATTACTTATTGCTCAACAAAACACATCCTCTTGGCTGTAAATATATGGATATTGGACACATAGATCAAAAATAAGAATTTCAGTGCTATCATTTGATAACTTTGTAACCTGGAACAAATTATAGGAGAAAGGAGCTGGGTGAAAGGGATTAGTACTATCTGTATATTACCAGCATACTGATATAAATAAATTATACATTACTGGGGTGCCTGGGTGACTCAGCGTCTAATTGGTTAAGCATCTGACTTTAGCTCGCAGTCTATGAGTTCAAGTTCTGTACTGACAGCTCAGAGCCTGGAGCCTGCTTCAGATTCTGTGTCTCCCTCTCTCTGCCCTCCCCAGCTCACGTTCTGTCTCCCTCTGTCTCAAAAATAAATAAACATTAAAAAATAATAAATAAATTATACATTGCTTATCTGGATCGCTTCTTGAAAATCTTCCTATCTGTGCTGGGTTATTTAGTTTCCTAAATTAAAATGTTTAGATGAGTTCATATGTTTCTCTTACGTACTTTATCTTACCTGTTTATGTCCCCAACTGTTGTCTTCAGGGTACTCACTCAGTCTCCATCTCCTTCTTTGGGTACTGGTTCTTTCAACATATTTGCCTTATTCTCTTCTGCTGCAGATAAGCTTTTGTAGGAAAGTTAGCTGCCAGCAGGCCGCACAGAAAGAGACTTCTTGCTAATATCCAGGTATCATTCCCAGAGGAGTCTGACTCACCCTGCTTGGGTATGTTTGCCCCTTAGATCAGTTATTTTTGCCAGTGGAATGAAATGCTATCCTTGATCAGACCTATGCAGTTAGCATCTATGATATTATGATAGCAGGAGTCATGAGTGATATAGGGTCATGCTTGACAGTCCCTCTGGAATCAAATGGGGTGAAAAAGGGAGGATACTGCTCAGGGATACCAGGTGGACTGAAATAACAACTGCCTTGTGTAAATTCTAGCTCACACATACATGGGTGTCAAACCTCAGTCTAACAGCAAAGTATTTAAAGAGCATTCATACCATATTCCTTAATGAAAATCTGTTATGGAATTAAATAGAACAATAGTTTACTTTCCAAGGTATGGTTGGAAAGAATTACACACAAGGTTTATGGGAGAATTAGAAATCGGGTCTTTTACTTTTTATTTAAAATTTTTTTTTCAATATTTATTTATTTTTGAGAGAGAGGGGGGGAGACACAGAATCCGAAGCAGGCTCCAGGCTCCAAGCTGTCATCACAGAGCCCAATGTAGGGCTTGAATCCACAAACTGTGAGATCATGACCTAAGCCCAAGTTGGACACTTAACCAACTGAGCCACCCAGGTGCCCCAGAAATCAGGTCTTTTTAAAGAATAAGCAGATTGATCCGTTTTTGTAGAAAGAGGACCAAAAAAGCAGGGTAAAAAGTTAGTGCAGAAAAAGGATGCTGGATGAATCTGAATGCTTCTGGGAAAAACTAAAGTTGCATACGATAAAGGGTCACCAAAGAACAGGATCACATTTTGGTGTCTTATGCTAACATTTTTTATTTATATAGATTGTAGCTCTGAAGAAAGCAAATGGTGATGCTGTTTTGAAATTTGAACCACTTATTCTTCATGTGCAGTGTCAACAGTTGCAGGATGCACAGATTCTGGTAAGATTTTATGATTATACTTGAATTTATAGGTATGTGGGTAGATTTGATTTTAAACTTTAAATCTACCAAAAAAAAACAAAACAAAACCCAACAGTGCACTGTTAATATAATTAACTAATTTTTAAATTTAATTATTGGTTTAATAATTATATATGTTTCTGCAGTTTGTAGAGCTAACCAGTTTATCTGATTAGCCAGATTATCAGAATTTAAACAGTTTCTTTTCTTACAGCATTCAGTGGCCATAGACTCTGGTTTCAGGAACTCTGGCATAACTGTGGGAAAGAGAGGGAAGACTATGTTGGTAAGTTAATTTTTGGCAAAAACAAGCTCTTTGGGCACGAAGTGATTCAGATTATTGAATAACCTCATTAGATTCCGGCCTTTAGTCTCTCCCTACTCACATCTTCTTGACATGCCCTTGCCCAGAAATCTTCAGTACCTTACTTTTTCCTATAGAAAGTCTTCTTAGATTTGCATCTGAGATCTTATTTTATACTGTCCTCCTTTATTTACTTTCAACCTGATTCTCTGTGCCCTTCTGACTATAAATAGTCAAGGCTCATTTAATAAACACTATGACATAGTAGAAAGACGCAGAGGCAGAGGGTCTATAAAGTCCTCTACACAGATACTGGTGACACCACAGCTGTGCTATATTAGCTTGGGCAAGCTCCTTAATCGCTCAGGGTCGAATTTTCTTAGCCATTTCAGGGGCCCAGCAAACTACTGCCCTGGGGCCAAGTCCACTCCGCAGGAGGTCAGAGCCCACTACTCCCACTTGAGAAGTTAGTGTCTAAGGTTGCTTTTGTGTACAGTGGTGAAACTGAGTAGTTACAACAGATATAGTATGGCCACAGAGTCAGAAATATTTACTGTCTATCCTTTTATAGAGGAAGTTTGCCAACCCTGGACTAGATCTTTAAAGCCCTTTCTAAGCCCCCAGCCTCTCTGAGTCCTTTCCTGGCCAAGCCAACTCCTAGTGATTTTGCCCTGGCCTGGTTTCCCGTAGTGTTTACTATTTCTAACAGTATGTATTCTTTGCTTTTGAACTATTTCAGGTTTTCTTCCATTCTAGCTCCCTAGACTTTTCAACTTTTTATCTTTTTTAACAAATTGCCCATTCCCCAAATAGAAACGGCTTACAAAAGAAGACACCTATAAAAAAGCATGACTAAGTAGAAAGTGGGAGTCTGCAGCACTGGTCTCTTTCCCTGTCCCCTTTCATTATACTGCATCTGGTAGCCCAAGCAATAACAGAGCTGCTCTGTCACTTTCATTTCCTTTGTCTTCCATATTCAGTTACTTACAAGTCCTATCCCATCTGCTTCTAATTTCTTACACCGACTATACCTCTCCAAGCCCCCTGTCACTGCCCCTACTTAAGCCCTCATGGTCCCACACCTCAGTGTTGACAGTGGTCTCCTGACTGGTCTTCCTGCTATCCACCTTCTCCTTCAGTCACCCTGAGCCATTACTATCAGAATCCCCCTTTTTAAAAAGTCAAGGTCTCCATATATTTCCCTTGGTATTCAAAGCCTATCATCTACCTTATTTATGCCCATTTCCTGCTAGCATACATCTGTTCCAGCCAGATAGAAAACTATCTGTTGTTTCCCAAAATATCATGTTCTTTCATGTCTCCAGGACTATAGATAAGTCGTTCTCTGACTTGAATGCCCCCTTCCCCCATTTTCTGTCTGGTAAAATTGCAATTGTCCTCTCAAATTCCAATGCAAATGCTAACTTTCCCGTGAAGCCAAGGCCTCAGACTCAGTTAGTTGCTCCTCCTCTGTATTTCCGCAGCATTGTGTATGTGTGTACGTGCGCGCGTGGGCATGTGCACATATACATGCATATGTCTCTCCTGTCCTAGCACATCAAACATTGTAAGTGTTCAGTAAAAGTCTGTTGAGAGAATTTTTATTTCTCACAATAGGTTTTGTTGCTGTTCTTAACCTATTTCCATTGTTTGGATTTGCTTGAAACATGTTGACTGTTTCATCAACCGGTTTGCTAAGGTTGGCAGCCCTCAAGCCTGGAGAAAGTAGCCACTTTGTGAGATATAACAGGCATGGTTTATTCTTATAACCACACTCTGCTCAAGCAGTACTAAGAGGCTCTTCCGCATCCAGTCCATTTTTATTTTCCCTTGAAGCTGCTGTTGAGATTTCATTTATTTCTTTTCTTTAAATAGGGTGTTAAAGCTTTCTAAGCTTTAGTGAGACTGAAACTGTTAAAGTGATTGGATTCTCGGATATTATCTGCTTTTCTGAAAGACAATATGTAGAATGACTTTCTTTAGAAATAACTTTATGTGGGGAAAATCTATTTAATCTCCTTTGATTCAATTGTGTTTAGCTAAAGTATATTAAAGCATAAACTTAAATCCTGTAATGGAACCCAACTATCTTTAAACACTGCCCTGACTGGGACTTTTCTTTAGTTATCTTCAGTGTCTCTAGCACATAAATCATTGTATCTAAATTGTTTGTTCCTTGTAGGCTATCCGGAGCACTCATGGCTTAGAAGTTCCATTAAGCCATAAGGGAAAACTGATGGTGACTGAGGAATATATCGACTTCCTGTTAAAGATAGCAAATCAAAAAATGGAGGAAAACAAAAAGAGAATTGAAAGGTATATTAATTAGATAGTTCCATGTTACTCTTATATATCTAGGTCATCTTTGAAAACATTGATACACACCGTCTTCAGCTTATACTCTCAACTACTTTTCTATTTGTAGTCTTATCACAGATAATAAAAAAATGATCAGAGTAATAGATGAGAGTAGCCCAACTGTAATGGGTACTAAGTGGAGCATAAAGGGGGATGCTCCATGGAGGACAGTGGGACATGACTGCTAGCAGCACTCATAAAGGAGAGAAGCATAATCACTCAGGTGAGAGAACCCAACAGTTACAGGGACCATAACTGATCAACTTGAGGGCAGCCAGGGAAGAGGTACACACTGCCCCCTGGATATGTTCTGCTGGAGATCACTTACAATCTCCTTTTGAGGAAAGCAACGTGGTTAATTTTAGTCTGATAAATATTTTACATGTTTTGCTTGTTCTTACGGGTTAAATCTAGAATTGCCATAATTGTTCCAGTAGGAAGGATTATGGCTATCAATTCACATCTTTATATTTTTCTTCTTCTTAAACTTTACGTCCTGGTAACTAAAACTGTTACATTACTTTCTTTTCAACATTTCCTAAAAATAGAGTTTTTGACATAAAGAAGTGACTGTGATGCTGCTTTTCTTATGTGAAGGTAATACCACTGATCTCCCATCAGCAAGATGTTACTTCTCAGTTATTCAGAGAGTGATGGTCAACTTCTTGTCATTCATAATTTCCTTTTCGCTTCTCCTTGGCTATCTCACAACCTGGTTAATCCTTACCCACATAATTCTTAAATCATTCTTTTCTCCCCATCTGTACTGTCACTTTCTCTATTCAAGACCATTGCAATAGCCTTGTTAGCTGGTCTCATAGTAGAATGTTTCCAGTGTGTCTCTCTGCTAAGCCATTCTCTATTATCACCCTCAGAATCCTGACTGTAGGGATGCCTGGGTGGCTTAGTCAGTTAAGCTTCTGACTTCTGCTCAAGTCATGATCTCATGGTTCGTGGGTTCCAGCCTCACATTGGGCTCTGCACTGACAGCTCAGAGGCTGTTTGGGATTCTCTCTCTTCCTCTTCTCTCTTCCTCTCCCCCACCCTCATTCTCTCTTTCTCTCTTTCACTCTCTCTCTATCTCTTTCTCTCTCAAAATGAATACATTTTTTTAAAAGTTAAAAAAAAAAAGAATCCTGACTAAAATGGAAAGGAATCTTATTGTTCAACCTGCCTGCTTAACATTCTTTAATACCTACAATTTCCCCCCCTTTCGAGCAGCTAAGGCTACAGGTGCCAATGGTAGTGGTGTAGGATGGTGGAAAGAGGTAGAAATTTGGTGCCAGAGGCAGAACTGAGTTTGAATCCAGATTCTACCACAACTCTTGGCTTAATTTTTCTTGTATCTAACTTGGGAGAAATACTTGTCTTAGAGAACAGTTTTAGTATACATTAAATAGCATATATAAAATGACTGGCCCTATTCATGTCATGCCATGGATTCTCAGGATAGAGTAGCTCTTTTCCTTCTTCACAGACACATACAGGAAATAAACCTACGATCACATCCCTACCACCATCCAGGCTTTTTCAACCAGAGCTCCTCATTTGAACAACAGAATTCACAAAATTATTCAAGTGACTGTTTCTTATTTCTTTCAACACTGGTGTATATCTTCCATTCTAGATACGTTGGAGAGAACTTAACTCCTTGTGTACAGTGGATGCCTTAGGGCATCAGAGCTGAATTTTATGGTAGAACCCTGGTTGAAAAAACAGAGGGGTTACCTGGCTACAAGACACTTTGAGCAAATGTTCTAGATGAAGTAATAATGTCCAGTGAGCACTGAAGAGCACTCAGCCACTTGAGCAGACTACAGAGTTTGAACTACATGCAGGTACTTATTGGTACCATTCCAAAAGCTTACTACTTTTCTTAGATTGTATTCCAGTGAGACTCTTTGCTAAAACATAGGAAGTAACAAATCAGTTTCTCTGTTTCCTTACTTGAATTTCAACAAGATTATAAATATAGCCCAAGAGCAACTAACTATACACCTGGTGAAGTTAATTGAGCCACGTTCACCAACTATAAAATCAAATTATACTTTAAATCCATTGACTCAGAAATATGTTTTGAGATTATAGTGTGCATGCTGCTATCAAGAGAGTCATGCTCATCATATGAAATCAGTGAAAAATTACAGAAGGCTAAAAAGTGTCTTAAGATACTGATTAGAAGATTACATGTGAATTCAGAAAGGGGGAACAAATTAGAGAGCTCCTTTGGGAACAGCTGTACATCCAACCAAATGCAGAGAAAAAGTCACCCCTCTGATGTTGAAAAGTGAAAAAATAATAAACACTGGAGGTGATAAGTTGTGCAATCAGATAGAGTACTAAAATTGGTTTGTCATAGGACCAAAGTTTCACAATTCAAATAACTATAGTAGAACTTTTAAAAATCAAAAATTTTTAATGTTTTTTTAATGTTTATTTTTGAGAGAGAGAGAAAGAGATACAGCATGAGTCGGGGAGGGGCAGAAAGAGAGGGAGACACAGAATCTGTAGCAGGCTCCAGGCTCCGGGCTATCACCACAGAACCCAATGTGAGGCTCGAACTCACAACTGAGATCATGACCTGAGCTGAAGTCAGGCGTTTAACTGACTGAGCCATTCAGGGGCCCCTAAAAGTCAAATTTTAATGAATAACATGTCAGCAGTAAATAATCTAGAAATGTGAAAAGCAATGTTAAAAGGTAAAATGTTTTTAATATAAAAAATAACTTATTTGTGTAAAACAGTTCCAAAACCCACTTTTTAGTGGGAAGAGTAAGATAAATTCATAGATAACAATTTTCAAGTAAAAAATAACAAGTTTGGAGATTTACTACTAATTACAAGAGCAAGGCTATCTTTGAATCTGTTAATAAGAGATCAGGACTGACTTGGGTCAGATGGAACCACTGTTTAGCTATGGGTAGAATGAAACTAGCCATGTTCTTCTTTTCACCAGCTGTGTAGTAATAAAATGCTAAATATAGGGTAAAAGGGCTGAATATATTGGCATATAATACTATTGATAAAGCAAATTGGAGAGAAAAAGTAAACGAATCTATATACAATGGTTGACTGGGTTTTTTTTAAACTTTTCTTTTTTATGGTAAAATATATATAACATAAAACTGACCACTTAAACTCTACATTTCAATGGCATTAAGTACATTCACATTGTTACTCAGCCACTACCATCACCACTATCCATCCTCAGAAACTTTTCATCATCCTAAACTGAAACTCTGTACCCATTAAACAATAAACCCCCATTCCCTAGAATCCCAGCCCCTGGTAACCACTATTCTATTTTCTGTTACTATGAATTAGACTATTCTAGGTACCTCACATAGGTGGAATCATATAATGTCTGTCTTTTTATGTCTGGCTTATTTCACTTAAAATACTGTCTTCAAAGTGTATCCATGTTATAGCAGATATCACAATTTCATTTCTTTTTAAGACTAAGTAATATTTCAGTGTACTTATATATCACATTTTATTTATCCATTCATTCATCAGTGGATTTTTGGTATTTTTCTACCTTTAAACTATTGTGAATAATGCTGCTATGAACATATTTCTACATATCTGAGTCCTGGCTTCAGTTCTTTTGGGTGTAGACTCAGAAGTGGAATTGCTGGATCATATGGTAGTTCCAGGTTTAATTTTTTGAAGAACTGCTATGCTGTTTTCCATAGGAATGGCACTGTTTTGTTTTCCCTCCAGCAATGCACAAGGGTTCCCTTCCTTGCCAATACTTGTCTTTTACGGGGGTTTTTTTAGTTGTTTTTTTTTTTAATGTTTTATTTATTTCTGAGAGAGAGAGAAAGAGACAGCATGAGCAGAGGAGGGTCAGAGAGAGAGGGAGATACAGAATCTGAAGCAGGCTTCAGGCTCTGAGCTAGCTGTCAGCACAGAGCCCGGTGCGGGGCTCGAACCCATGAACTGTGAGATCATGACCTGAACCGAAGTTGGATGCTTAGCCGACTGAGCCACCCAGGTGCCCCTGTTTTGTTTTTTTTAAATACTGTCCATCCTCACAGGTGTGAGGTGATGTCTGTGTGGTTTTGATTTGCATTACCCTGATGGTTAGTGACATTGAGCATTTCTTCATATACCCGTTGGCAGGAAATTCTGTTATATCACTTTGCTGCTTTCCTTCTTGTTTGTGGTGCTTTCTTAGCTTCCTTCTGGATTTCCCTTAAGTTGGTTAAGTATTACTGTTCTCTAAGATACTGCCCTTGGCCCATTGCTTCACTATTTCCCCATATAATGGTAGGTCTTCCAAATTTCTCCCAAGTCTTGAACCTATATAGACAATAAGCTTTTGAACATATTTAACTAGAATACTCTATCAGCCTTTCTTATAATCCTTCTTATCCTAGCCTCAACCCCATAGCCATTTCCTTCTTTTACATTCTTACTATCACTTAGCAGTATTATTACAGTTTACCCCTCAGTGCAGGACAGAAATGTGAACCATGTTGGATTACAAGTATTTAATTTTATGTATGTCCTTTTTTTCCACTACAATGTGGTCACATTGGAAATAGGACTAGCTTTTCCCTGTAACCAACCACACACACATACATACACACACACACTTTAAATATCTGTTATCCTAAAACCTTACATAGTGTCCAGCTCATAGTAGAAAACCATACATGTTTATTGAATTAATAATAAACAATAAAAGAACTTAAAAGTTAACACATTAAATTGAGTTCCCCAAAGGCAAAGACCATTTCTCATTTTCTGAATGTCTGGCAAGAGAATAGTGGTTAATAAACATTTGCTAAATTCATTAACTGACTTTTTCCATCAACATTGCTACTTACAAGGCTTCAGAGCCTTAGATGATTGTTCTGGAAGATGTGTAGGATGGCTTAGAGATAGGTTGAGCAGGTGTAGGCTTTTGCTACATAGTCCCGTGAGAAGTAACAGGACCCCGAATAGCAAGATCAATGGGAATGATAGTGCAGAATGTAAATTGAATATAGTGACAGACTAGATATAGGGGTAGAGAGAAGGAAGAGGCAAAGATAACAGAGGTCTTAGACTCCTCACTGTTGCTAGTCTTATTTTTTAAAATGGAACTAAAGCAAGTAAATATCTCGCATGTTTCCCTATGTACATAGGTCAAAAGAAGTAAATAATATAAAGTAAACACACGTTTTATTTTTACATAGTTCCCCTTGGATATTCCCTCCTCTTTTTTTCCTCTCCCATACCTAGTCGGCTTCAGTCCATCCTTACTACTCAGCCCTGGCATTGGGTTTTTTCCCAAGGAGCATTCCATGATCTCACTTGAAGCAGAGTACTGCCAGTGTGCCCCTACTTTGTCTTGTCTTTTTTCATGGCATGCTGAATGTGTATTGTCAGTTCTGCAGCATCCACTAAACCCTGAGCTCCCTGAGGGCATGACTGGGTCTCTTCCTTCTCTTCCCAGCACCTGGCACAGGCTCTGTTTACATGCCTGTTTTTTAAATAAAAATGCTAGAGTTTAATCAAGTCAAAATCTAAATACATATGTATGAAAATAGGCTTCTTTGTTATTTGTGAATAATGGAAGCCTAAAAGGTATGAAATTGTGCCTAGCTTTCATTAATTTTATGTTCCTATATCAGAAGTCAGAGAGATATCATGTCTTTATTGCAAGAGGACCTCTAACTGACCTGAAAAACAAGAAATCATTTTCCCAGGGCTGGTCTGAAAACTTCGGTCATGAAGAGAACTAAGTACAAGTTGCCCTGTGACATGATCGTCTTGACTGCAGAAGTAGAGAAACTGAAGACAATTTGGTTTTCTGAGGGGGTAGGGAAGACTGTTGCCTGTGCATACATTTCCTTTTATATCCTGAGCTCTTTGTTGTTGCCTGTGAGAGCTGAGAAAATTGCACTTTGCGAATTGGGCTATAGAATGCTGTGTAAGGGGCATCGTATGAGGGGAGAGCATGTAATTGCAAAACAAACTTCTGACTTATTGAGAGAGATAGTTTCCTAAAGAACTTTTTAAAAATTCTCTTTAAAAAGGAAAAGGAAAAAGAACTTGAAATATTTATTCTTGGCTTTCAGCACAAAGGGTCTTTGTTCCATATTACCAGTTGTTTTTTTGGTACCCCACAGATGTAGCTTTGAATTCTTAGGTTCTTTAATGGAAGATTAAAGTAAGGCACCTGTTCCTCTTTAATTACTTTTTTTATGTGATTGACAAGATATTTTACACAGCTATTAATTCTCTGTGATTATAAAAGAGCAATTTAATCTTATCTTTAATTTTCTAGGAATAAAATATAATCCATAAAAAAAAAAACAAAAAAAAACCCTTGGTTACCTGAGTCTAAAGTTCAGAGTTGGTGGGGAAATGGTAGAAAATGGAAAATGAACTTGCACATCATGGATAGCCTCTTATGACCAAATAAATGTGATTCACACTTATTGTGAATACTTGTGGTATGAATTTTTAGATTTATGTTTTAGATAAAATGAGTCATTCCACAGAGTCATTTAAGTTAGCTATTCTAAATAGACAGTGTGGAAGATGAGAAGAAAACCAGTCATTGAAGTCACCCAGGATGATGGTAAGACCTGGAGAGAAAGATCATCCCAAGTGTAGAAGTTTTCATGAATGTAAGGGACTGAACAAAATACTGGTAGATTGGCGTGAGGGGCAGATCAAGGAGTTGAGTATCGTGAAGTGTTGGTGAGCCGGCAGAATTCTGACCTTATCTCAACTCTGTGTTAGGTGGGATATGAAAAGAATTAGCATCTCCACTTGAGAGGAATGCAGAGCAGATGGTGTCTTTGTGGGGGGACCAGATTTCAGTTAAGTAAGGATATAAGGGGTAAATTACATTAAAAAGCTGTTCCCATGGAACAAGGTTTAAAAAATTGTACGTCAGTTTTATTATTTTTCAAAGCATTTTGCTGTACCTCCTACTATACTGTTTTTCCTTGTACTATACCTCTGTCTTTGAGATTGATTTATTAATTGAAGAAATATCTATTGAGTACCTACTATTTGCCAATCATGGCTCTGGGTATCAAGGTATACAGTGGTAAGTACATAATACTTGAAATACAAACAGGATATGTAATATTCATATTAGATATGTATTACAACTGTGTAGAATGTTTGGAAACAGGTGTATATCTCTTGGGCTTTTTAGGTCAGTTTTAGAGCCTTTGCAAGTAGAACTTAACCTGTTCATTGAATTAAAGAAAGAAGAAAATTGGTCCAAATAGCAACCTATCCTATAGGTGTCAAAATTTCCTGTCACAGTTTGCCATAATAATAGAATATAAAGCATGATGAGATCCCCACAATGGCAAGGGGGTTCTCAACTTCCAGATTACTCTAATTGGGGACCTAGGATAACACATCTATATTCACCTTTTTGTTCATAGTTATTTATTCACTTAATTGGCATATTTTTCCCCAAATGTGTTAACATCATACCACATTCTAAGAATATTAACAGAAAATAAGATAGTTGGGGTCCTTGGTCTCATAGAGTTTATATTCTATAAAAATGGTCATATTGAGAATTTACTTTGTGCCATGCACTGTGCTAGGTACTTACATATATCACCTGTAACCTCCTGGCAACTCAGCTTTGTACAGGATAGTATCCACTTTTATAAATGAGGAAGTCGAAACTCAGTAAAGTTGGAATTAGCCTACCTTAGCTTTCCCAATAGAATGCATTTGAAGCACATGCAGTATACCATGCCACCTTGCTGCCTTTCCACATATGCTGAAGGCTACAGTGTGAGGCAGAGTATTTTATCAGGTGCTAACACAGAAGGAGAAAAGACATGAAGATAATTTTCAGAGAGCTAACGATTTATTGTACTACAATAAACACTAACACTAAAGTAGAAAAATGAGGAAAGGAAAATAATAATTTCTATTTAAAAAATTAAGATAGCTAATAAGCAGATGAAAAACAATTTCACTTGCAAACAAAAAAAATGAAAAAATAATGAGACACCATTGTCACCTATCAAAGTAAAGTATGTTTTTTGATGGTAATATTCAATATTTGAGTGAAGTGGTCTTTCAAGTACTGCTATTAATTAGAAGCATATTTTTTGAACCTCCATTCTGGAAAATAAGTAGTATTTATCAAGAGCTTTCTAATGTTTATACTCTTTAACCAAGTAATTACATTTCTAGGGGTCTGTCTTAAATAAACAGCTAGAAGCTATGATCACATTATTTAAAAAAAATTTTTTTAATGTTTTTTATTTATTTCTGAGAGACAGTGTGAACAGGGAAGGGTCAGAAAGAGAGGGAGACACAAAATCTGAAACAGGCCCCAGGCTCTGAGCTGGCTGTCAGCACAGAGCCCGACACGGTGCTTGAACCCACAAGCAGTGAGATCATGATCTGAGCCAAAGTCGGACGCTTAACCGACTGAGCCACCCAGGCACCCCTGGATCACATTATTTTTAAAAATGTTTGTCACACTGTTGTTTGTATTAGGGAAAGTTTGAAAATTAATTAAGGCCAATCTAGATGACATAATGTTACACTACCACTAGAAAGTGTTATTTTGAGTTTATTTGATGATATAGAAATTTTTTCAATAAATATTTAACAGAAAATGTAAAACTTTATATGTAAAAATTCGATAAAAGACAGTAGATATATGGGCATATGCATAAATACATTAATTCAGAATATATTAACAAACTGAAAGGAAATAACATATTGAGAGGTTATTTCTAGGTAGTTATATAGAAGTAATCTATATTTGTAACCTCATATATTTGCCAAATTTTCTAAAGTGCGATTTTACTACATTTGTGATTTTTTATAGAGGAAAATAATATCTCTTCTGTTTTTACCTTCTTTGACTCCTACACATGGAATAGAAATTGAGGTAGAATACAGGTTGTCAAGAGGTGATTCCAACCAATTTTCAGGAGTGTTCTTAAAGAACTGAAAACACATTTCCTAATGAAATGATCATATAAAAAGGAAGAAGCATATTATTTCCCTGACTCATTTTATATTTTAAGGTTAATACAAAACATCAAATTTATATAATTTATAAGTTCTAGATGTATTTCATTCATGCTGTTTCAGAACACAGATATAACAATAGCATTTATTTCTTTATAGGTTTTACAACTGCCTACAACATGCTTTGGAAAAAGAAACTATTGCTAACTCACATCCCAAAGAGAAAATCAAAGACAAAAATAATTCATCATATACTCCTAAGAAAGAAAGAAATCCAGAAGCATGTGGCAAATGTATTACTGAAGAAAATGATAAAGAACTTGAAAATGATGATGATCTAGGAATCAGTGTTACTATCTTCCCTGAAGATTACTAAGATTTGGTCTTGGTAGTATAATGTTTCTAATAGATATTCCAAAGCTGCTCTTCATAAGAGTATTTTAGTTTCCTGAGTGTATGAGCCACTCAGAAAAGCAAGATTTATTCTTTCTCTATATTTTAGAGAAATCCCTAACTTTTCAAAGTAAGTATGTATAATATTTGCTTATTAAATACCATCTGTTTTAGTAACATAGAGATTTCATTGCAAAAATAAAATTGACTGGAGCTCCTGGGTGGCTCAGGCGGAAGAGCGTAGGACTCTCGATTGCAGGGTCATTGGTGTGAGCCCCACGTTGGACATAGAGATTACTCAAAAATAAAATCTTTAAAAAAAACAAAGTAAAATTGACTTTTTAATGCCTTTCTTTTTTTTAAGTTTCAATTTCTACTTCTACAAAACAGGAACTATAATACTCTTCAAGTGAAGAACCTTAACATTAGGAATAATTAGGTAAAACTCATCTTCACATTTTACTTCTTTTTAACTTTGAAATCTCCAGCCCTTAAAAGGGGTAAGTTTGCTTCTTGTTACCATGGAGTCCAGTAACAAGTTCTTCCCTTTCTTTTGACCTCGTGGAGAAAACAACTGATAGGGTTTTTGTTCAGGACAAAATCCCTGAACCCTGTTTCTCATTAATTCTCAGAAACCAGAGCTTCTCACGGGCATGGGCTCTGCTGCACAGGTGGGCCTAGTTTTCCACTAAACCTGATCAAAAATGATAACTTAAGACAGGAATCTTTGTAGAATCTTTATATGCTATTTTGGAGAATTTCAAGGAATTGGAAGCCTTGGGTTTGAGTTCTGACTGCGGCAGAAATTGGAGGTCCTTGAACAAATCCCTGAATCCCCAAGGCCTTCATTCTATTTCCTCTTTTGCATAATAGTAGTTTTGACACCTGCTGTATTTACACCACAGCAATGCTGACAGCATCATGTTAAATAGAACTGAGAAAGTTATTAATAGACTCCTGCATATATGTTACCATTTACTTTTCCTTTGTTTTCATTATAAAATGAAGATGCTTCATACTGTGTTTTAGGAAGTATCAAATTATAAATTTTACATTTAAGGAGAAATTACTAACTAGTCATAGGACTAAGGATAAAATTATGAGAATGTCAAGAAAAAATTATACAAGGTAGTAAATATTGTGATTTTGGCATTTCTTAATATTTTTATAACTTGTCTAAGTTTTCATGTAAATTATGTCTAGATTTGCATCCCAGATGCTTACCTTCTGACACCTCATTTTGTACTCTCATTTTTAAAATAGATAGACTTAGTAAACATCTATTATCCTCTAAATAAACACATCAGGGGTACTCGCCAAGGAGCTTTAAAGTTATTGAGAGGTTTTTTCTTTGGCCTTCATAATAAGATACCAATATTTGCTTTCCTAAATTCTTTTAGCATCCCCACAACATTTAGGAAGTCTTCCAACACAGTCTTCTCTTTCAGTGTTCCAGAAAGAAGCTCCTTGGAGTCCTCAATCTCCTTGCCATCCTGCAGCGTTTGGTGCTAATCACTCTTGCATCCATGGGCATCCCAAACACTTTCGTCTAAATAATTTCCCTGATGATGGTGAATCCTTCTCAGTTCTTTTTTTCCCTAGAACCCTTCACAGTTTTCCACATTCACTGCACCTTAGAATCATTTTCAGAACTTTGGAAAACTACAGAAAGGATCTGAGACTCTCCCGGGAGGGATAGTAAGCATGTGTATTTTTTTTTTAAGCTACCTAATTGTTCTCTAATTGTAAACCAAAGGGCAATAATGTGTAGGCGTGCCCATATTTTTGTCTTTAGCTTTTTTACATTTCTCTCTTCACCCCAGCTAACTCATCCATTCCAGCAGCTCTGACCTCAGAAAATGACTCCTAACTCCTGTCCTGACATGTCTTGCTAAGCCCCAGCTAACTGCTGGGCTTCTCCTGTACAGCTGTTAACTTTCTAAGTTTTCTCTCCTTACACGATTTCCTGGTTCTTCGGCTAGAGAGCAGGCTTTTACTGGGATTTTTTTTTTTTTCTTTTTGGTCTGAGCCCATTGGCATTTTGGGACTCTGGTTTTTCCAGTTCCCAGTCTGGGATATTTGGGGTAAGAAGAAAACCCAGAGAACTTACCACTGTGTTGTTCTTTAGGTCCTGAGATCCCTAGCTGGTCCACCTTCCCCTCTTCATCTTTCAGTCTTCTTATGTTTGTTTTCTCTACATGTCCAGAGTTTTTAGTTGCACTTAGCAGATGGAATAGGAAGAAAGTATATCTTCCAGAATCATAAGTCTAACGTATTTTTTTAAATTATTGGTAATATCACATTGTTGGGGTATTGTTGATACCTTTGGAATCTAATAGCCACAGTTCCTTTTATTTAGTGCTGTGCCCCATCTCCCAGCTTGTATGCTTTGTTGCTCTTGCTTTAGGCTTCTGGAGCGTATCCACTCTAAGATAAAAAGCCTGGAGTCTGTTTCCTATCCACCTCCCACCCTGCTGCCACATTTACACCCACTGTCTCATAGCCAATAATGACAAGTGCAGAGCTTCAAAAGGCAACTCTGTTGCCCAGAAATGGGATAAACTTGGACATGCAATTGCCATTTAAGCTCTCAGCAGCATCAGGCTGAGGCTGGGACTTCACCTGAGTCCTATCATGTTTTTTCCATTTCCTTACCAGTTTCTCCTGGGAGAGCCTGCTTAATAAATCACTACACTAGTATGGTGTCTTCTGCAAGAACCTAACCTAAGACAGGTATTGGATTACTTTGGATCTATTTTTTTAAAGGGATAGCATATTTTTATTATAAAGAGTTGATATTTGACTATGTTAAAAATTATATCATTGGTAGCAATTACAACTTATCACATAAACATGGTGCAAATAAACTTATGACGTTAAGTACATAGTTTTAAAAATATTTTGGGCAGAGAACTCGAGATGCTGGCGAGGATGTGGAGAAACGGGCACCCTCCTACACTGTTGGTGGGAATGTAAACTGGTACAGCCCCTCTGGAAAACAGTGTGGAGGTTCCTCGGGAAACTAACAATAGAACTCCCCTAGGACCCAGCAATAGCACTGCTAGGAATTTACCCAAGGGATACAGAAATGCTGAGGCATAGGAGCACATGTACCCCAATGTTCATAGCAGCACTCTCCACAAT